GATTGATTTTTTCCAAATCCATATAGGTAGGACTCACACGTACTAAGTAACATATCATATCATATCATTTCATTACGTCCATGTTACCAGATAACATTTGTATGAACTGCGCGCCAAAAATAAAACTTATAGGATAGAGATCGCCTATATCAATACCAAAATATTGTACTGTTTCGCTGCTTGTCTTCTTCTGGTGAAATTATGAGAATGCCAGGGTTTTCTAGGAAAATGTTTTACGCATTAGAAGTACATATGCATATGTATGTGTAAGTAGTCTTTTGCGATATTGTGAACCCCTCTGCAAGCTGCTTCATCAACCCCATGAGGTTTTCGCCTCCTTTTTTGTTTTAAATAAATTTGTAAGCCTTTGAAGTAGAACAACTAGAAATTTGAAAGAGGGATTTACTTACGTTTGGGGTAAATGGGTGGTCGGCATTTAACCGCTTCAATGCCACTGCTGCTGCTGTTGTTGTTGTTGTTGCTGCTGCTTATAACGCTGGCCACGCCCCCCGCCGCTGCAGCGCCCAGCGAGGGCGGCTGGCTGAGGGGGAGTGGCGGGGGCGGCGGCTGGTGCTTCATGGACGCCGAGGGGGGCACATTGCCGCCGCCGAAGAGGCGACGCTGCGGTAGAAACGCCGTTTTGCTGCCTGTGTTGCAAGTTGCAGGTTGCACAATCCGGTGTTGTTGTAGATATGGCTGCAGATTGCCAGCTGCTACTGCTGCCACATTAAATTGACACTAAAATTAATATATAATGGCTATTTGAATTGGTGTGTTACATAAAATATAACAAATGGGAGTACGGAGAATCTACATTAGCCATTTTTATCTAGCATATTAATTACTTTTAGTTACAATGCATTACTTAATTGGAGGGTTAATAATTCACTCTTTAATTATCGTTTTATATTGTTTATTCTCTATATATTGTTCAACATCAATTTTAATTACGTACAAGTTGTTGTTTACTGGGGGTTAAGCTTAACAGTAACTTACGCACACATGCCTATCTAGTGCTTATCTCACACGCAGAGGTGCGAGCGGGAGGGTGGCAGGGTGGGCAGTGCGAAAGAGAGCTACTAACTGCAATATTGACTTTTTAGGGTTTCTGCCCACACATATGCACATTAGATGCATTTGCAATTGAAAACTGCATAGTCAATGGGTGGAGAACTAACGGTGCAGCTGCTTCACCTTGACCTACACAACCACAAATAACAGTGAGATGCACAATACACACGCACGCAGCCAAATCACCGCTCGCACACACACACACACACACAAAATAATAATAAAAAAAATTGGCTCACGCACTTTGTTATTAACTATTTCCGTTGTTTTGGTTTCTCCTTTTTTTAACAAAACTGTATTCAATTTCACTAAAGAAAAAATTGTCGCGAGTAATATTCCAAGTTACTGAGCAAATATTATTTACAATACAAAATATTGTTTTTTGAGCGGAATATATATAATTTGAACCATTTATTTCCTACGCGGTTCCAATGATGCTTCTTCACCGCCGTCGCGTCGAGATCTGATTGCAATTCAACTCTGCTTTGCTTTTCCATTTCGGAAAACATGCGAACCCGAGATACCAGCACAAATACCGAACAAATAATACTGGTGGCAAACGGTCTTACTTCGCGCCACTTGACTTGAATACCTGATTTCAAACTTAAGCCTAAATAGGTGCATATCAACAAAATTAAAAATTGTTAATGTTATAATTTGTATTTAATACGAGTATTTAGTTAATTGATATCAAGCAGTAAAGATCCCTAAATCTAAAAGGACAGCAGTTGAAACACTAAATTAAAAACTCTATGCAATGTATTATACCACGTTAAAGCAGTAACAAACGCTATAAAGCATAGCTATGTATGTGTCTAAGGGCATAAAAATATGAATTAGCCAGTTTTTAAGCTATTTTATAAGCAAATTGCACTGTAGAGCGAATATAATTAGGAAAACAGAGAGTTTGTTACGAACCAATGCGAACAGAGAAACTGCAGTGCAGTTTGCAATATACTTAAAAAATACTGAATAAGAAAACTATGCCTTGCCCGACGTGCGCACTGACGGAAGCTGCCCCCTGTAAAACTGCGGCGCGTGCTCAAAATTTGCAGGCTGGCAAAAGCAAAATGCATCGAAAACCTTCATTTAAAAAGGCTCTTCAGGAAATTTGCTTGTAAAATTCCAAAACTAGCGACAAAAATTATAAAAAATATATTTTAATAAGTAACATTACTAGTTTATTGGCTTGAAAAGCTTTTCCGACTGAAACCTTGCTTATTTTAGCTCGATTGGAGGTCGCAGCACGGGCGGCTGGAAATCTGATTTCTGGCCTCCGCAGCACACGAACAAAGCGCCACAAACTCAGTCGAACTTTAACGGCGCTGGCAATCGGACGCGTTTTGAAAACTAGCTCTCTCTCCGATTTCATTCTGGTTTTTTGGGAAAGTGTAAGCTGCATTAAATGAAGAGAAGAGTCCATTGAAACGCGTAAATCTTCCTTTGATTTGTCAACCTCGCGGCATTTTTGTTTCAACAATTTTTCAGTGCTAATTTGTTCAGTCGGTGTAGGCGCAAAGTGAAACTACCAAAAAAAGAAAAAAAAAACGGGAGAATTTGTTTTGCTTTCTGTTTGTTTGTATTTTTTTATGTGCTCGAAATTGAAGCCCGGCAAAGGCAGACGCCTGGAACAATGAAAGTTGATTGAATATTTTATGCAAATTTCCCGTTGCAGAAAAAAGGTGCGAAGAACAACAACCACAGCCACAACAAGTACAACAAGCACAACAACAACAGCAGCTGCAAGAATAATAATAGAAATTGCTGTCGAGCAGAAAACTGGAAATCCAAAGGCAGCAGCAAGAAATCAGGTGAATACCGAATACCGAATACCGTCTGTTTCTCGTGGGAAAGTTTAAGATCAAGGCCAGGCCTACGGCCTACGGCCTCGGGACGATTGGGTGGATTGGGTGGACCTGGGCTGGGGGTGGTGCAGGCGCGGCCTTGCTGCCACTGCCAAGGCGAAGGTCACATTGCAGGCGAGTTTCGGCGGGCCTGCACTAGCGTTGTTGTTATATAAAACCCCACTCCACCTGCCCCACAATCCACCCAAAATGGCTCACTAACCCACTGCGCATGTCGCCTCCTTCGAAGGCCATCGCATGACCTCAGGTACCGCCACGCCCTCTGGCCTCCCCGCCTCCTTTTCTCGCACAGCAGAGGGCATGACGTTAGAGTGAGGTACCACATACTCGTACTCAGGGATACCAGGGATACTGGTCATTAAAATGTCATATGGATTACCGCTGCAATACTTAGGTCAACAGGAATGGAGTTTTATATTTCATTTGCATTTTAAATTGGGCTGCAACTATTTGCTTGGCCATGTGTGTGCTCCCCCTTTTGGCAGGCATTTAGCATTGAACTTGACAGTGGCGGTGAGCGCCTTTAACCAGTGGCTGCCCACTTTTTAGCTAACAAGGTTAGTGGGTTAACTGGCCTGCTCCACTGCCCCCACCCCACCCCACTCCTCACTAGCAAGTCTTCAATCCCCAGTCTTCAGTCTTCAGTCTTCAGTCTTCGGTCTTCTGTCTTGTGTCTTCAGTTTCCAGTCTGCGGACTCTAAAGAGTCAAGAGTGTTTCTCCACGCCCGGATTCGGGCAAACCCGTTACCATTAACCCGCCGATCGGCTTTGCCATCGCTGTGACCATTAAAAGCCACTTACACTGACTTTCCATGCTAATCAAAATTGAAGCCCAAAATAAGAAGAAATTTGTTTGCCGCCGCGACATGTCTCGACTTTTGAGTGTTTCTCTCGAGTCCCCAGTGGATTGGAACTGGCCAGTGCAAGTGGGCAATGCGGAGTGGATGGCTTCTTGGAACTGGCACCAAAGTGGACCGGGTGAAATTGAGTCACTCCGGCGGGCAGGAGATGATAAACTCGGCGATTTCTTATCAGGTTTCAGCCACACTGAGAAAACTCTAGGTGTAATTGCAAAACCAGACTGTTCTACTTTGGGGAAATAAATTAGCTTTGATACAATTTAATATCCTTAAACTTTACTGTTTACTGCTTACTGTCGCCTTAACGCCAAGCCAAATAACCACGAATGAGCATTAAATATTCACGTATTTGAGAGCCAATCCCTTGAATCCCAATGGAGATCGTAGATCACGGAGTTCCTCAACTCCAAAAAGTTCGATGACTTTGTCCGTGAATTGCATTTCGATCGTCGCAGTGACTGACGGATTGATGGACGGATTGATGGGTGGACAAACTGAACAAATCGTGCCAGTTTACCTGGGGCAGGGGCAACACTTTGTGGTACCAAAACCCATGGAGGCATGCCACGATCCCCAGCGATCCGATAATTGCGCCCCAAACGAGAGCGAAGGAAAACAAAGAGACAGTGGAAAATTGAAACTGTGGAAACTGAAAAATAAATAAAAAGTGCAAGACCAGTTAAATGAAAAGCAAAACAAAGTCATTAAACGCCGAGTGCCTGGAAAAAGGCAGCAAGCTGAAAACTGAAAACCAAAAACTGACAAAAGAGCGGAAAATTACCGAGCAATAATAGAAAGAGTTGGGCTCCATTTTCACTTTCACTGGCCGGCGGGGAAATGCGGGGAATTGCGGGAAAAGCGTATAAAAGTTGCGCTCTGATAAATGGCCAAGCGGCCAGAAAGGGAAGCCACCAAGTTACCAATCCACCGAGCGGGTTCTAAAAAGCGGTCACAATCCGCTGGCTCGCAAATGAGTCATGTAGAGATGACCCAAAAAAAAGGGGGAGAATGGGGACTCCTCATTAGATCAACTACCTCCCAAAATGATTTCAAAGTAACAGCTTTGTTTTACAAATGATGATCATATTTTAAAATGGGGTGAGCCACTTTGAAGTTGGCAATATTGCAATATACAGTATATATTATATGCATATGAAACTTTACCAACCTATAAATGGAAACATCCTTCTTGTTTTTAATTTAACTTGAAAGGAAAAACATTATCACTTGATTTTGAAGGAAAGAAATACCAGAAATGCTTGCTGTGCTGATAATATTTAATATAATTTAAGTCACTTTTACAACATTGATTTCTGCTACGTTGCAAAATGAATGTGAAAAAAAAATATAGTTGGGATACATACAAACCATTTACAAGCTGGCCTTCTCGGCGATCCAAGACCTCAGTGCGGAGACCCTTTCGTAGCCATCGGGCGCAGCACGTCCACAGCCACCGATCACGAAACTGGCCAAGCCGACCAGTTTGCCCTGGTAGGTGGCCGGACCGCCGGAATCCCCGTAGCAGGCACCCTTATTCTTGGGATGCAGCAGGCACATCGTGGTCTCCGGCAGCTGGCGGAAGTACGACTTCTGGCAAGATTCCCGGGACAGCGCCTTCACCTGCACGTACAGCAGGGAGTTGGAGAGCGGTCCGCGCTGGGAGATGGCGCCCCAGCCGGAGATGTCCACGGTGGCATCGCTGGGCGGATCTTTGGTGGCCAGTTCGATGGCGGCTATCTTGGAGTTGAAGCTTAGAGAATTGCGTAGACGCAGCACGGCCACGTCGTGGCCAATGCCCTTGTAATTGGGATGCACGGTAACGGTGGCCACTGGAACGCGAACTCCTCCGCTGGAAAGGAGCAGGCTGCCCGCCTGAATCTCCAGCTGGTTAGCTGGAGCGCTGCGGGCAGACAATCGATTAAAAGTCGTGCGTTTCTGAGGATTCAATACCTACACATTGTTCCCTTGCTTGACGCAATGTGCCGCGGTGACAACGTAGTCCTTTGTAATGATGGAGCCACCACAGGTGTGACTTCCACGTCGGCGAAGTGAGATCTGGTGCGGAAACTGACCCTCCTGCGCCTTGGTGCCGCCCACAATGCGGGGCTCCACATCGGAGTCGTTTTGTCCCAGGACTCCGGCACAACACAGGACTAGTAGCAAAGTCCAGAATGGTAGCATGACTGGTTGGGCTAGCTATCTGAAAAGTAGTGCTCACTGCAAGATTGCACTGGCTATATATACACATATCACCCAAATTTAAGACCCTCATCATCATTAGTTCCTTAAAATGTCAAAGTCAATGGCGCTATCGAGCTGCAGCCTAATTTAGTTTGGTTCCCTTATTTCGTTTGCAAATGAAGCCCCTCTAATTACGACGACAAGAGTTTGGGGGCGAAAGTTGGGCAAAAATTTACGCAACTTGGTCTTTCTGAAGATTTCGAAATGTAGATCTTCAGTTTGGCACAGTGAATGTGCTGTGCGTGCATTTTAAAAGTGTCTACTGTGTATTGTCAAAAGTGTCCGTTGGTTTTGGCTCGTTATTTATAATGAGAGGTATCTTTGCAAATATGGAATTTTTTCCAAATTGGGATTCAGTGATTTCTTATTGAAAATATTTGGATATTTGGTTGCCAAGTGATGTTTAGGAATTAAAAAATATATATATTTCTGGAAAGGGACCTCTTTTTTCTTGCCAAAAGCAGCTGAACGGCCATCAGCTTTACTCGAATTTGATGAGAACCCTTCCCCATTTTGTTTGCCCTTTGCCCTTTTGGAAGCCCTTCTAATTACAACCAGAATTAAGTGGAGAAGTAAGAAAGTAAGGCATTCATATGGGATTGTGCAACATGTGATGTGAGCAGATTTCAGCCAATATTAATTAGCTTAGGAGAGCTTGGAAAGTCTTACAGATTCCTTACATAATGAATTCAAGGCTCAACTTACGTAAACTTTACCATCCTGCCTAAAGTGACCCTAAAAACCGAGAGCTTTATCGACGTCTCGAGTTCTGGGCAATAAAAGCCATGCCATTGAGGTCATAAATAAATAAGCATTCCACACGCAAGACGGCGGTGCTTAGTTAGTGATTATTACGCTAACCAGTGTCCAGTGGCAATCGCCGATCCTTATCCTTATCAAAACCAATCTATTGAGTCATTGCCATCAGGGGAAAGGCCCGCGTTCAGTTTGGGATGTATTTATTATTTTGATAGCTTGTAAGGAAAACGGGGAGGTGCGACCTAGGCGATCTGCTCCTGGATCCAATCCGAGTAGCTGGAGAGCCGCACAAACACATCCGGGTAGCGGGAGCCGCAGGCGCCCACCACAAAGTTCGTCACCCCGATCAACTTATCGCCGTAGACGGCGCCACTGCCTCCATCTCCGTGGCAGGTGCCCTCCTTCAGTTCGTGGGCCAGGCAGAAGCTCTGCTCGCCGTGATTACTGTACGCATCCAGGCAGGCCGCTTCCGAGGCCACCTGGAGCGACGTCTCACGGATCTTGTACGAGGTGGTGCCGTCGCTGGTGCGACCCCAGCCGGCCACGTTCACCTCCGACCCCTCGGCGGGCAGCGCCTCCCCACTGGCGGCCACCGGGATGGCACTGATCCGTTCGGTGTAGCTCAGCGCGGAGCTCAGCGTGATCACGGCCAGGTTGTTGTCCAGGTTATAGTAGTCCGGATGCACTGCCACCGACTCCACGAACACGATCTTGCCACCGGCGTACTGATTGGTACTGCCCACGCGGCACGACAGACGACTGGCATCGATTCTGTTTTGAATTTTATTAAAATAATAAAATAAGCTGGATTATTGGTCAAGACTTGTGCATTGAACTCTATTGTAGTCTGGATTCATCAATTCCCCTACAATAATTAAAGCCAAGGTCCATCTAAAAAGATTACTCATTCGCCTAGTTGTACACCCCCAAAGAACATATTTGGTACTTCTTCTGTTTGAAGACGACTTGTTTTTGATAAAAGTAAGCACAATATAGTAAATATAGTCTAAATAATAATAGATTAGTAGATGGGTATGGTACTCACAGCTTTCCATCGCGATGGACGCAGTGGGCGGTGGTCAGGATCTTGGTCGGGGAAAGAATGCATCCGCCGCACGCGTGGGCGTTGTCCACCCGCAAGGAGGCGGCGAAGGGCGTGGCTGTGGGGTCCGCTTCCGCCCCGCCCATGATGCGCCCCTGGGCGTGGCACATGCCCACCAGTGTCAATCCGATCAGACCCAAAATGAGTAGTCTCTGCTGCATCATTTTGTGGATGTATTCTTGTTTCTTGGTGGTTCTGCTGCCGACGGCGGTTGGAATGAAAATGCGCAATGCCAGCGGTGGGAATTTAGGTGACTAGCTCCATCTAACTTGACCAATCCTTATCTTCGGCTTGGGCATCAGAGAAAATCTAATCTTATCGCCGCCATTGGCAGCTTTATGCCGCTATAGACTATAGACTATTGTTACTTGTTATTTCGCCGCTAAATTGGCACATAAATAGAAAATTGTACAGGGCGGAGGAGGGAAGTCCAAACGAACCAAATTGTCATGTCCATGGCAATACAACACCATCTACAGTAGATAAAGATGAGTAAGTGATGACTCAGGGAAGCTAAAAAGGCGGGCCAGAGGTTCCAGAATTATCAAAAATCAGGGATGGAAAACATGGAACTTTTCAGTTATCCTATGTTTAGTAATTCATTAATTCATTTAGTAATTTAAGTAATTTAAATAAAATCGCCTTGAATCTAAGCAGATGATATAGTTCGCATAGTAGGAATTACCCTTGATTAACATCTTAAGCTCGGCGATAACAAATCTGGATTATAAAGATTTGGCCTGGTCATTGAAGATTGACCAAGCTAACGGCTACGGGGTTTTCCTAAGATCTCTATCTCAATTTTCTGTTCTGTAATATATGGGCCTATAAACTATAATGCAAATAGTTGCGAACTCTGTTAAATAGCCCATTGGGTATAAAAGTGTTCAAGGTGGTTTCCTGGTAACTGAAGAACCTTTGATCGGCTCCAATTAAACACTGTTCTATAGATAGGAGTTTTATGACCAGCACTAAGTTCCATATAGTTTGCAACCATAAAAATTTAGAAACACAATTTCAGGTTTTTTTAGAGGCGGTAACACACTTTATGCACATGAAAAAAATGTATAAAAAAATAAAGTGCAATCCTTGGCGAACCAGAAGTTTACTGGGTGTTGGCCTCGATCCAGGATAGGTAGTAGGAGACGCGGGTGGCCACATCGGGATACTTGCTGGCGCAGGGTCCGAACTGGAAGCTGGTCACGCCGCGGAGCACATTCTTCTCATCGATGACGGGCGCTCCGGCATCGCCACGACAGATGCCCTCGCCCTCGGCTCTGGAGAGGCACACCACGGATGCGTAGCCGTATCCGGCTTCCCATTCGCACAGAGATCGGCTCAGCGTGTTGAAGTTGGCCTTCTGCTGCTTGTAGGAGGCGGTTCCATTCGAAAGCTCACCCCATCCAGCCACATAGACTGGAGTTCCGTTGGGCAGCTCTGCGTCCACATCTTCCGACTCCTCCACTTTGGGGGGCAGTGCGATGGCTGCAACGCGAGTGTTGAAGAGCAGGCTCTCGTCCAGCTCCAGAATGGCGATGTCGTGCAGGAAGTTTCCGTACGACGGCTGGATGACCACTTTCTTCACATTCACGATGATGCCGCCGGCGTACTGGTTAATGGTGCCCACTCGGACGGCCAAGGTGCTGGCCTCCACTCTGGAGAATCGCAAGAAACAGGGATTAGAAGTCGTAGATGAATAAAAAGTAAAATAATAATATGAACAAAAATCAGAAACCCGTATATAAATAAGTAATACTTCAGAGCTATTTATGGTGGAAGTTTAGCAACCAAATGAAACAGTTTCATAGTGAACTTATAAAATACTGAGCAAACCCAAGCTATAGTTTCCCAAGTGTGGTTAGAACTCACGGGGTGGTGCCCACGCTGGACACACAGTGGGCGGCGGTCAAGATGTGGCTAATGGAGATGATGGTGCCGGAGCAGACGTGCGCCTTGTTGTATCTCACGGATGCGGACCAGGGGTACTCGCCCTGGGCGACGTCCTCGCCGCCGAGAATGCGGCCTTGGGGCGAGGCCTCCGTGGTGAGGATCAGGCCAAAGATTAGCAGACCGAGGCCCAGAGTAATGCGTGGATCAGCCATGGCGATGGATTGTCAACTGAATGGCCACACCACCCAACGATCGATGGTCACCGCCACTCGGCGATCTAATCGATGGGAATTCTATACCGATAAGGAGAGCGACTTGAATTTATGGGGGTAACAAACGTGGGCGATTAGATTGCTTAACCCATGGTCGTAAACGGGCTGTTCTATAAAGGCCCGCCGGCCGGCAGGAGCACCTTTCAGTTGAGATCCCACAAGCCATGAGTTCGGTTCCGTCATACTCTCATCTTCCACTCCTCCTCCTCCTCCTGGCCATCGCGACCTTGGGCGAGGTCCAATCCAGTCGGCTTCCGGCGGAGGTGGGCTCCCAGCCACACAGCATCTCCCTGCGGCGGAATGGCGTCCATGTGTGCGGAGGAGCTCTGATCCGCGAAAAGTGGATTCTCACCGCTGCTCATTGCGTCAGTTTGGGCGGCGGACAGCAGAGGTAGATGGTTTGTACACGGAGCGAAGAAGCTTATATGAACTTAGTTGTTTCTATTCAAAGCGAATTGTTTAGTGCTCAACAAATTATTTGATTTAAGACTGAAGTGAATTTATAATCATTTCTTTAAAAGTTGAAAAATAAGCCAAAGTTGAGTTAGTTGAGCTGTAGAGCCAAGCAAAGTTCATAAGCTTTTTCACTGTGTAGAATAGCCCTGTGAAACAGTATACACTTCCCAATTCCTCCATGTAGCTACCCAGTTCCTTCCTACGACGTGCGAGTGGGCAGCATACAGCGTCTGGCTGGTGGTCAACTGGTGCCCCTGTCCAATATCATAATCCACCAGAACTACTCCAGCTCGGACGCAGTTGGCTCTAATGACTTGGCCCTGCTGGAGCTGCACTCGCCGGTGGTCCTGAATGCGAACACGAAACCCATTGAGTTGGCCACCGCGCGACCAGCGGCGGGATCCCAGATCACCTTCTCCGGCTGGGGATCCAGCCAGATGGACGGTTCGCTCAGTCATGCCCTTCAGGTGGCCACCAGGCAGAGCCTGAGTGAGGCCGATTGCCAGAAGGAGCTGTTCCTGGAGGTGGATTATCTGCTCTGCTTGTCCCCGGTGGCCGATGACTTCGCCGGACTCTGTTCCGGTGATGCCGGAGCTCCTGCGTCTGCCAACAACCAATTGGTGGGCATTGCCGCCTTCTTCGTGAGCGGATGTGGTACCGAGCAGCCCGACGGCTACGTGGATGTGACCCAGCATCTGGAGTGGATCAACGCAAACGCCGTTTAAATAAAACCGAGCGGTAGATGGGGATTATGTGGGTGCGGGCATGATAGTGATAATGGCATATGAATACATCATATTTTAACACTTATTTTAACTTTCATGACCCACTTAAAATAGTTTTTTTGTTTCGTACTAAGTTTACTGGGAAGTTTAAGTTTACCAAACCTCAGTTTTATACCTCTGTCAAAAAATACAACTGAACCAGATTTTGTATATATTTGTACCCAAAGTGGTCAGGTAAAGTAGTGATTTCCGGTTTTGATTTACACTCGACAATCTTTCCTATTACAACACTTTTTCTTGAGTGCGTTTAAGATAAAGGAGGTTTTGCTTTCTCTGATATAAAGTAATTCTGTACAAAATATTACAAACCTTAATTGCTATCAGCATTTTGGCTTATGGTGTTATATATTTATACCTGACTCAGCAATCATTGAATCCAGGCAATAATTTACGACCTAATCGTTCATAAAACGATAAACGTTTTAAAAGATTTCTAATAAAGCTCCTATAAGTATGCCACGAAATTCTGATTTCGAATTGCTTAAAATAGTAATAGCAACATTTATTTGCTATCGATATTTGTTTGATTGTAACTACTTGGAAAGTTGATTGACAAACTAAGATGGACAAAAATAATAGGTGAAAAAATTCCCAAAAGCAAGTACCTATAGATGTATTTATTTTACAAACATCTTTTAAACATAAAATCAGAATATCTATTCTATTTATATTTTTAATAATATTGATTAACTTTAAAGCACCCTTGAAAACAAGAAAAATTAAGGTTTTGTAATGCTTTTGCCATCGAAATTAGTTTATTGCAACTGCTGCTGGATCCAATCGAAGTTGGCCGCGATGCTAACGAATCGTTCGGGAAGCATTCCTCCGCACTCGCCGACGATCTGGGCGCCCAGACCCACCAGCTGGCCCTGGTAGACGGCCGGGCCTCCAATATCCCCACTGCAGATTCCGTGACGACGTTCGTGGCCCAGACACAGCACCTGGTCGTCGGTGGCCAGCAGCACATCGCGCTTGGCCAGGACGCATTCGCGTGGAGCCATCACCTCGGCGGCTCCGATTTGCAGGGTGCGGTGCATGTTCACCTCGGACTCGGTGGTGCGGCCCCAGCCGGAGACCTCCACCTGGGCGCCCAGGGGCGGAACGTCCTGGGCCAGCGGAATGGCAGCTACTGTCTCGCTGAATGCAATCTCCTCCTGCAGACGGAGCAGGGCGATTCCGGTCTTCAGGCTGCTGTAGTTCGGGTTGATGGTTATCTCCCCCACGCGAATCTGCTTGCCTCCGTTGTAGAGATCCACCGATCCCACGGTCACGGCGAACAGGACAGCAGGCCATCTGAAATGGGGAGAATTGTTATTTAATAGGAGGCTTATTAATCCTTGGGAGAAGGACTAAATTTAATTTAACTTCGCCCTTGAACAAATATTTTCTACATGCTTCAAATGTTTGGAAAGTCAATTTATCCATGTTTTTGCAGTCCCATCTGGGTCTGGGAAGAAAACCTTACTGATCCTAGCAACATTTAAGAGTCCGCAAGTCTGCCGTGAATCATCCGTGCACTTACGGGGTGTCCTTGCCATCGGAGCAGACGCAGGTGAGGGCGGTGAGGGCGTGCCGCTGGCCAATGATCACGGCGCCGCAGTTGTAGCTCCCGCCGACGGAGAGGGCCGCCTGGTAGGGCAGCTGGCCGGGAACGGCGTCTTCTCCTCCGGCGATCCTGCCCTGCGGCTGGGCCAGAACTCCGGCGGCCACAAGGATTAGTCCAATGGTGAGGGGCAGCTTCATGGCGCTTCGCTTCTTTGACTTTTGATGGGCTCGCAGCGATGGCGTGAGTTCTTATAGGGCTCACTGCCCATACAGGGGGTATGGCCTGGTCATTGGGTATCTTATCTGTCAGCCGGAGAGATAGAGCCATCCGGTGACAGCGACTCCTCCTGATTAGACAAGCCCTCGCCTGTGGGGCTATCGGGATCGAGCCCCGTATCGATGGTATCTCCGGGAATCAGTTTCTAGGAACGCGATAGGGATGGCAAAAGTATAAGTCCATCATATACGAGATACATGGAACTTTTGTCGCAAAATAAGCTTACTTAAGGCATAATAATCATTAAAAGTTTACATTACGTTTATATATAAATTTATAGTTGTAAAACTGAGTGAAATGATCCTAAGCTTAGCACTATTTCATATGGCACAATCGCAATGAAATCTCTTTGATTTTGGGATCCAGTAAATTAAGATGTTGTGTGACGGTTACGTGGGCATTTCCTTGGCCATGTATCAACGAACTCTGGCGGGGTGATGGATGCTGCCAGGTGCAGGAGTGGGGGTAATAATCCAGGGCGAACACGTTTGAGGCATGCCACACAGATACGACGACAGGGGCCAACGATCGCAGATCTCGACGCGCACGTAGCAAAGCTCATCTCATCCCATCCCGCCCCAACCCATGGCGATCCGATCCGATTCGATTTGGCCAGCCGCACAACCAGTTGGCTCTCGTTTCGAACCGCATTTCGCACCGCCAGAGACTAGCCCCCATTATATGGTCTGTCCGACCGCCAGTTTTGACCATTCGCAGACTCGCCGCCGACCGACCATGATCTTGCGAACGCCACTCGCTGCCGGCCACCAGATGCAGCTGCAGCTGCAGCTGCTCCTGCTGCCCTCCGTCCTGCTCCTCGTGCTCCATCTGCTCCTCTGCGACGCCAAGACGGTCAATCCCGGCGATGGCATGCAGGTGCAGCACCACCAGATGACCGCGGAACCGGGACTGCCGGAGCCCAGGGCCTACATGCCGGATGCCCAGCACCTGGACTTTGTCTACCACGACCACGAGGAGCTCACGAGGTTCCTCAGGTGAGTCCATTAACCGGAGATCGGAGATCCTTACTTTATGACTCTATGTAATTGTAATAATAATTTGGACTTGCATTTGGTTATTTTTATGGCCATTTCCACCATCTTTAAAGTTGAGCAGTTGATTGAGATTTCTTATACTAATTCGCTTACCAAACTTTGCGCACCTTCTTTTAAACCAGAGCCACCAGTGCGAGGTACCCCAATCTCACTGCCTTGTACTCCATCGGAAAGTCCATCCAGGGTAGGGATCTGTGGGTGATGGTGGTCAGCTCGTCGCCATACGAGCACATGGTGGGCAAGCCGGATGTCAAGTACGTGGGCAATATCCACGGAAACGAGCCCGTCGGCCGGGAGATGCTGCTGCACCTCATCCAGTACTTCGTGACCAGCTACAGCTCGGATCAGTACGTCAAGTGGCTGCTGGACAACACACGGATTCACATCCTGCCCACAATGAATCCCGACGGATATGCTGTTTCCAAAGAGGGCACATGCGATGGTGGCCAGGGCAGGTGGGTCTCTTCCGGAGATTTCCAAGATTGCAACTTGTGACTCAAGCCATCATCCTCTTAGATATAATGCCCGTGGATTCGATCTGAATCGCAATTTCCCCGACTACTTCAAGCAGAACAACAAGCGCGGCCAGCCGGAAACGGATTCTGTGAAGGATTGGATATCCAAGATCCAGTTCGTGCTCAGTGGAAGCCTGCATGGCGGTGCCCTGGTGGCCAGTTATCCGTACGACAACACGCCGAACTCCAGTAAGTAGTCCCAGTAGTATGTACGTCCCGATCCTAGCATTACTCCAATGTCCTTGCAGAGAGTTATTCCCATTTAAGGACCATATAGTTATGTCTGTCTGCTTTTTGGTTACCTATGTTCCTCAGCTGACTTGAAATGGGAAACTTTGTCGGGAAGCACATTACTCGGCTTCGAGATAATTCCAGATGGATGTTATCAACAGAGACCTACAAGGTCCCTTAATATTGTCCGAATAAAATATATGATTAGTGAATTTAGCGATATAATTTAGTTATAATTTGCGTTCTGAGATACACGACAGCCACGTTAAGTGGTCAATGTTAAGTGGTCTTTGTTAAAACTTGATTGCGACCTGCAAGGACATCCCTAGCTTCGTGCTGCGAGGCCATATCCCTTCGCTTTTGGACTCCCAGTCGAGTTCCGATTGATAAAGCTGATTCTGTACTCTCCCACCAATATGGCTGCTCAAAGGGATCTGCCGTTCGTCCGCCCTGTGCGCGAGTGAGTCCGCGACATCCGCGACATCCGCTCCCGAACGATCCATCTAATCGTGTTTGCTTCTCTTTCCGTTCCGTTCCGTTCCGTTCCGATCCGACCTGTTGCGCCAAACATGTCCTTTGGGCGCAGTGTTCCAGACCTACTCGGCGGCGCCATCGCTGACGCCCGACGACGACGTGTTCAAGCACCTGTCCCTGGTCTACGCCCGCAACCATGCCAAGATGTCCAGGGGCGTGGCCTGCAAGTCGGCGACGCCGGCCTTTGAGAATGGCATCACCAACGGAGCCGCCTGGTATCCGCTGACCGGCGGAATGCAGGACTACAACTACGTGTGGTACGGCTGCATGGAGATCACGCTGGAGATATCCTGCTGCAAGTTCCCGCCGGCCTACGAGCTCAAGAAGTACTGGGAGGATAATCAGCTGGTGAGCACATGACTTAAATATAGTTATCTGTGGTCAAAAGTTCAATATCACTTACCCGACGATCTCTTCAACTCCTCCACAAAGTCGCTCATCAAATTCCTGGCCGAGGCGCATCGCGGAGTCCAGGGATTCGTGTTCGACCCGGCGGGCATGCCCATTGAGCGCGCCTCCATCAAGATCAAGGGACGCGACGTGGGTTTCCAGACCACCAAGTACGGCGAGTTCTGGCGCATACTACTGCCGGGCTACTACAAAGTGGAGGTGAGTGTTAAGCCAGGCCACTGTGTATCACATGTATACCTTAAAATGCCATTCATATGCCAGGTTTTCGCCGAGGGCTTTGCTCCGCGCGAGGTGGAGTTCGTGATCGTGGAGCAGCATCCCACGCTGCTGAATGTGACGCTGCAGCCCTCGAAGGTAGGTATCCCCCTCGGTGGATTGGGGTGCTCTTAAAACCCAAGGTGCCGGCTAACCCTCTGTGTTTTGAATCCCCCTAACATCTCCTAACGCTAATCAGTACCTGGTGGCTTCGGGCACATCCACCTCCACAAAATCCTCAACTGTGAATCGCCGCGTCACTGGAAAGTTGCAGCTGTCACCAGAATAATGGAGTTCCGATTTCTTGGAGTCCGATTGCCATTTTGCGACGTGTGGCCGGCCTGTAAATAATAGCTAATTGGTTTAGACCTAGGAAATGCTACGCAACTAACCCACAAACCCATTGAACATTTCACTCCAAGCTCAAGCATTCAGTTTTGGTTCTTAAGTGTTTGTAAGTTTTTGAAACCCACAATTCAAAGTTAGCTTTCCAAATTAAAGAAGTGTAAGGGTCTGCCACTTTTAGTTTGAAAGTTCGATTAAAGAATAAATTAAAGTTTTTGATTACACACATGTCCCTAATTTATCTTTCGTTTGTCTACAGCTTTTACTTAAAAAACCGAGTTTCTCATTGGCTTAATTAATCTTGACATACAATAACACCCTTAAACATTAAGAGCTTTGCTGGTAAAAGTTTATTATTAATGGTTTAATATAATGGTGGCTGGAAACACCTCCGACTACCTATGTGCACCCACGTATAACATCTCGTTGACTCCACAGCGCCTGGAGGGCATTGGGCCCATGGGTCCCGGCGCAGTGCCGGTGGGTGGCGGAGTGGGTCCCGGTGGGCTGTACCGCCCGATCCCGGCGCCCCAGCATTACCGGCCACCTGTGCCGCCCTACGCGGGCGCCGCCTCCAGCGATAGTGGCATCTTCTCGACCATCAGCAACGGGTTGAACAGCCTGTACTCCAACATATTCGGCTGAGGAGCGCGGACTCGAGGATCTTAATTAAGGATTTTTTGTTTACTTCTAAGCATGCCTAGGACTTAAGTTGGAACCTTCGTCGTACTATTTATTGTGAGCAAGGGGATTGTGAGAGACCCGAATAAAGCGTTCAACCAGTGCAATCTATTCTAATGGAGAATTAGAGAATGGTGTATCTTTTATTGGCTGGAATTTCAGCTAGGCATTTTCACAATCCACAGAACGGAGCAGGTCGACAAAAGTAGTCAGGATTTGGGCTCAGCTTGAGTGCAAGCCGGAGACTTTTGAAAACTAGGTCGATCAGAACGTTCATGCCAAACCTATCAAGAGAAATCTCATCCCAGACCTTTCTTATTATTTTTTATTTTGGAAAACGTTCAGAGCAAAATTCAATACGGTTTTAAGATCCCCTCAAAAACAAGAAAACCACTGAGTTATAGATGCAATTTCCGTGAAAAGGGAAAATAAAACACTACACTTAACAGAAGTCACTGAAGCTTAAGGAACATGAGCTACCAGGATATGTACGGAAGCCATTTTGATGCCCAATCTGCTGGTCGAGGCAGCAACTTCGAATTCCGGGTAAGATGCATATAGTACATTAATATATAACGCAAATGGTGACCCAACTACCTGGCAACCCAGTTCTCTGGACCGGAATCCATTCCGAATGCGGTTAGGCGTTATAATGCCATGCGAGGCGCCGAGTTGGCCCAAATGAAGCGCCAGCGGGATGTGGGCAGATCCAATGTGTCCAGCATGCCACGATTCTGCAAGGTTCGTCGTCCGGGTCACGATGTGACCAGCATGGTGACCTCGCGCGATCTGGACGTGGTCACCCAGCTCTCCCTCGAGTCCGAGCCCATCTGCAATGAGGATAATGATAATGAGCAGTGTGATGAGTACGATGGTAGTGAGTTAAACGACTTGCAGTACCAAGCCCAACAGGCTCCTCGTCTTTGTGGTGGTTCCGAATCACCCAGAATTGTAAAGCATAAATTCAAGGGTCGCAGAAAGCAGATGCCCATGGGCCGGAGAAGGAAGCATTACACGAAGGTCGTGGAGCAGGACCACACCTACGAAAGATTGGAGGAACTGCATCGCGAGGTCTGTGCTGAGCTCCAGAGCATGGGAGAGTCCTCCCCAGTGAGTCCCGATGCCACTCCGCGCCCCAGAAGGACTTGGAGGAGGAAGCAGAGAAAGGCACAGCCAGCTCAGCCGCAGGAACCGTGGCTAGATGGAGACAGTTCGCCGGCCCATATGGGTCAAGTGTCCTTCGAGGACTATCATAAGCCGCAGCCCAAGTGGGCGGACATCCTGCCGTCGGAGATGGCGTCGCAGGCGATCAAGGTGAATGTCTGCCAGGCGCAAAACGCCACTTCCCTGTCGGCCTACGAATTCATGGAGCAATATGGCACAGTGGAGCCAGAGCCAGTGATGCCCTTCTTCCTCGAGGACAGCGATCTGGAGCACGAGTATGCGGATCGACAGGGCTACATGCGCTATGTGGAGCCCAAGCCCAAGTACAACTCCAGCGAATCGGATAAGAGTAGTCAGGTCGAGAGTGCCGTCCAGCCCGTTTTTGTGGAGCTGGAAAGGCGGCCCGACCGGCTCAGCCTGCTCAAGAGTCTCTCGCCCATGAGATACACATCGCAGAGGTCGGAGGAGGTGCTAAGAACCCAGGAGCAGGAAGCTCAGGTGCCACCATCGGAGCTGCCCAAGGCGCCGCAGACCAGGCGGGGCAACCAAAGGCAGTCAGTGGTGGATGGTGGTCAGAAGATTGGTAAGCCTCGCAGGACTAATGCAATGGTCGCGGCAAGTCAAAGGAATGCCCCCAATCCAAGGACACGGCGCACCTCGAGAGCGGCAGGCGGAAATGAGGTTGCTGCCGTGCCGCAGAACTCACCAAGTCCCCCAAATCCCCCTTATCCACCCAATGGGCACAAGGAAGTGGTAACCGCACCCGAAAGGCTGAGCAGACGGCGCAAACCCAAGCCCATGGTGCTCTACAGCAAATCCCTGGAGGATCTGAAGTTTGAAAAGTTGGCCATCTACAATAAGATCACCCTGACCCAAGAGCGGATCATCAACGCTCTGGACAAGCTGCAGACCAGTCTGCTCCACCTCCAGGTGCCCAATTGCAGTGCCCAGGAGCGGCAGAAGCGCCAGCGCAACGCCTTCGAGTTCTGCGTGCGCTTCTCGAGGAACTTCCTCTTTCCTTTGAAGGGAATGATCGACGATGTGCGCCTCACCACGGTGGCCAGTTTCAACAGTGCCACCTCCAACGAGGCCTGCCAGAGGGTCGTCTGTGTCTACGGACTGATGCAGCAGTCCATCCAGACGTACCAGAGACAATTGCGCTACTTCCTCCTCGAGAAGGTGCCACAGAAGCTGAGCGCTCTCATTGAGATGATCTACACGATGACCAACTGCTGCCTGGACAAGGGCATGCTGGATCGCCAGGATCCTGTGGTGGAGTGCCTGCAGGAGCGGTGCACCCGATTCCTCAGCTTCATCGAGGACATGCAGGAGGAGCGCTTCAAGTTGGCCCGCGAGGCGATGCGGCGCCATCAGAAGGGTGTTCCACAGGGTAACCTGAGTGTCCCGAAGCACAGCAAGAAGAAGTCCTCAAATCCCCCCAGGGCACCCACTCAGCCCAGGCAGGAGAAGCTACGATCGCACGAGCGGTACGATCTCAAGATGTGCCTGAATGACCTGAAGCTCTATGAGCCGCGCCTGGTGCCCAAGGAGCGCCAGCAGGCGGAGAAGCGACCGCAGCGGATGCGTCGTGCGAGGATCACTCAAAACGTAGTTAGCACTGCGGGGCATCCGGGTGAGCCTGCCCATGGGCAGATGGAACAGCCCGGTGAGCTGGAAGTGCAATCCCTTGCAGCCGACGATATGCAAACCCAGATTCAGATGACCGCCGATGGTGGCACCAGCAGTTCGCAGAGCGAGCTGTCCACTTTGGCATATCGGGGTCACCCTTTCGCGGATGCCCGGCAGCAGAGCTCGAAGTCGCCGTCGCGGGAGGAGCAACTGCATCGAGTTTTGGTAGATGCCTTGCACCTGGTGTCCCGTTCGCAGGTGAAACAGGTGCTTGATCCGCTGATGCGGTCGCTGGGTGTTATTCTGGCTGAAAAGACCGCTCAGGCAGGTGCTGTTCACCAGGACTAGATCCTCCGTCTAGCTATCATCTAAATTGTTTATTTTCCAAATTGTTATTATTCACAAGTTCTGCTTTTATCGGTCAAATGCGAGACTATACAGCTAAATTGCTAAGTGTTTTGGTAGTGCGAATAAAACGGAAACTTTGAGCGAATGCAATCGAATTGTTTGTATTTTGTTTATTTGTAAGAGATATCAACAATTATTAATTTTCATTTATTTTTATCATTTATTTGTGCAGTACGAAACGATCGAGACAATTTTCAAGTGGTGAGTGGGTGGTGTTCTTGGAGGCGTGGGCGTGAGTGAGATAGCGAATGAGAGAGAGAAATAAAATTATTTGAAGCATTAACAAGCCCCTCCCCCCACCAACATCTCCACCCCGTTGCAATTTAATGCACTTCCCGTGTTGCTGTCCATCAAAATGTAAATTTCTGCACCCCGAATTGGATTGGAATTTTCCTAATTTTCCGTTTTCATTTCCACGACCTTGCTGCTGCGTCCTCGGCGATTGGCTCAACAAATTGGATTACTACAAATACCATAAGAATAGATAATATACATAGATAGCGGTTCCCTAACCGGAGCAGGACGTGCACAACGGCTTGTTGTCCTCCACGGCAAAGGAACTGGCCGTGATGGGTGTGTGGCACTTCTGAAATCACACATAAATAACCATTAGGCACTCCTCGCTTTATCAGTGATATGGCGATACTACCTTGCACTGGAAGCAGTCCCGATGCCACTTGGCGTTGAGGGCCACGATCGCGTTCTCCGTAATCGGATTTCCACATCCGGCGCAGCGGGCGGCGAAGAGCTGTTCGAAGTCCGCCCGGCAGTAGGGATGTCCATCCCGCTCGTAGAAGGAGGTGCCCACCAGCGGCTTCTTGCAGGGTCCGTTGCACACGAAGCAATCCTCGTGCCACGACTGCTCCATGGCCTTGATGGTGCGCTGAAATATATGCGACAGGAAACCCATTAGCTACAAGTGACTTTAAAATCGTAAGCCATTTCATTCGTTTTACATATTAAATGCGAAAAATTCCGACTAAATGATTACTACTATCAAAAGCCTATGTTTCAGCCAAGTCCACGGCCAATAACTAATAACCAATGGTGCACACAATGTGCATATATGAAAGCATTTATATCGTAATCAATCGCGCACACACCCACGATGAGTTCATCCCGACCTTGCGCCAAATTGAGCAGCTGAAGGGGAATAGCGAATGCTCTCTAAATAAATGAATTAAAATACTGTGTGAAAAACTGTGTGGATTACTGAATTTAGGAATCATAAACCGCAAACGCGGCAATTTGCGGGGATTTTTGGCATAAAGCCTCTGAATCGCTTAAAAAGTATTTAAGAACTTTGCACTTTTATTGCTTTCCAAGTGCTTGCATGCAGTTTCGAATTTCAGTTTCAGAGGTGAAATTTGGAATGCGTTTCGAAACGTTTGCTGCTCTGCGCGGCACATAAGAATAGCAATTAACGGATACTTTCTTGCCTGCTCAATTGAAAGATGTCTAAAAATACAATCGCAGGCACTTCCTTAATTAAATCGTCACTAAGCATATACGAGCAGATACTAATAGTGGTTTTATGGCGCAGCGAATCTAGGTAAATGTTGACAGTATTCATTACAACGATGCTCGTAAAGCCGCGGATTTTATGGCAAACAGACGATGCGAACTATGGAGATACTACAGGAAAAAGATACGGATACGTACGGATAAGTACACAAATATTTGCACATTCGGTTCCTAATCAGCATAGTTGCGAATTTCCGGTGCGAAACAAATTTGGCTTGTGCAAAAATTCAAATAATATTTGTCAGACAAATTATTTTTGGCAAGTAGTAGCTATGTAGATATCACATTGGAACTACTTCATACAATAAAGCTATATAATTTCGCGTTTCTATAAAATATTATTATTGGAGCATTTCATGGAAGTTCATAGGCCTCCTGATTACTCACCTCCAGGATGGGCTGCTTGCATCCGAAGCAGGTGCCCGAGTAGATCTTCACGAAGCAGTCGGAGCAGACGGGCTCATCCGCCTGGATGTTGAAGGTGGCCTCGGAGATGGGGCGTTGGCAGTCCTTGCAGGCGAAGTGCTCCGGATGCCAGGTCTTGCCCAGAGCGGTGATGATGCGCTGCTGGATGACCTCATTGCACTTGTGACAGATGGACAGCGGCTCCGACTGGGCAAATAAGAGAGAACAGCGAAATTAACATTGGATAGAAGCCATTATTTTGCGCATTTCAAATGAAAATCACGTACTTCAAATATTTCATAATACACCAGAATTCTGGGCGAATTTTCTGGGAGCGGGCTAATGCGATTCATCTGAGATTCAGCTCATCAGCGGGTTCAAAAACCGCAGAGACAGCTGCTGGTGCGAACTTACGTAACCCAATACCAAATGCCAAAGGCTTCAGCACACAGAACCCCCGGCACAAATATCAAAATAATTATTCATATATAAATACAACAATAAACGATGAGCATCAGCAATATAACAATCACATATATTATACAATATTTAGTTGTCAGGTGGGCAGCCACCAAAGTTTTGAAAGATCCAAGGCTTAGATAAATAAATATCAATGAGCAATATCAGTAAGTCTTACATATAATAACATAACACTTATGTGAAATTTTAAGACGTTAAAAAAATTGCCAAAGCCATTTGTTTGCCTTAAAAAGAGTGGACCCCAAAAGTATGCAGTTTTATTATATTTTGGTAGCAAACACCTGCTGAAATGAGCCAACCCTTTTTTTCCCTAGTTTTTTGGCCATGCTCAGCTATTAGCTTTAAGTATGGCCAGCCATTAAACGAGCCAGCCCAGCACGTTTGGGCCATTATCATTGGTTGTAACACCTCCGAATAAATAAGGGTGAACCACCCAAGAAGCCAGGCTAGAAATCGGATGTGGGCCAAGTTACACGACTTAAATGGATGCCCAAAGAGAAAATGCAACCGATTGCTCATAAAAATGCAGCAAGAGGCGGTCATAAATAATGGGAATAAAGTGAAATATCCGCCAATCGCAATCCTGCGATGTTTTCATTGCGATTTTATTTACATTTCAGTGTGCGGTAATTTCCAAAAATTTAATTTGGCCAAATGTGCGTTTAGCACATTTCTTTCGGGCTTTCCAGTCTGCTCGTTTTTTTTTTTTTGTTTGGCTAGTTTTAAGTTGTTCGCCAGATGTAGCAACAACAAGCATTTCTTTCTGCATTAGACGACCTCTCACTTAGATCATCGCTAGAGTTAGAATCGAATTAAACAAACACGCACGGGAAAGAGAGGGGGCTATCCCAGAAGAAAGAGAGGGGCACTTTTAGGGGGCCAAGGGCAGCAGCTCTCGCGCTTGTATAAAGAAAACAATAACAAAAGGCCACACAGCCAGAATACAAAAAGCAACAAAGAGCCAGGCTACAAAAATGAAGCAAAATGTTTAGCGCTTAATGGGCAGCAAACAAACAAACAAACAAATATAAATGCATAGATATATAAAAAAGTTAGCACTGAATAAATGGGAATTCATTTCTTAAATACAAGTATACATTACATGTAGTATAGAAAGTGATTTGCAGAAGAAGTTCAATGACTCTTACTTGAATTAATCAAGAATCGAAGTCGCCCGTTAACCCACATAATTGCGAATTCCAACCGCATTTAACCCGCCATTTAACCCACAGCCGCCCATCTTTTGCTTACTCAGTTCAGCTCGAATTGCAATTTTCACGTTCATAACGTTTTTGTTGACGATTTGCATTTCTTATCAGTTAATTGCCGCAATATTGCAAGCGATTCCAATATTTTTCCCCTGAAAGCACCAAAAACAAAAAGCCCAAGCAGATGGAGCGGAACGAAAATAATAAACGTAACAATTACAACAGAAAATAAAAATTCAAATAAAAATAAAAACAATACATCAGAGGCCACCGCAACAAGTCGAAAACAATATTACAGTTCTCTCTTTCGGCATTGTGTGTATTGTTTATTCATAGGCGATAATTAAAATATTGAATGCATGATTCATGGCAGGCAGTGAAAATTTACAGAGGTTTGGGTGGCATTTCGAGGGGGTGGCGTCAAGTGCTCTCGATTGTTATTATTGTTTGCTCTGCGTCCATCAATCAGAGTTGTCAATCACCGAGGAGCGGGGCATGCAGTGTGTGTATAAGGCCTGTTGCCTTGGATCAGATAATTGGTAGCAAACGCCTCCAATGAGCGAAAGATCCCCCAAAAGAGTGCGGCGCACAGTGCGTATACGTAATGGCCATTATCCCATTTAAACTGTGAGTGAAATGCCGAAATGGCTCTGTAATATACGGCAAATTGTATATATAAATGCGATTATGTGCCGGGAAACTTTTGCGGAAGATCGATGGAGCGGATTATTCACAGACTTATGCATGGCAAAAAACATTCGAAATTTTACTCTTCGCAAGGCTACAAATTTATAACAATATCATTTTAAATGTTATAATTTAAGATAAAAGGAAGCGAGGCATAAATTCAGCCAATTTATAGAAAGTTTAGCTTATTAAATCACAAGGAATGAATAGACTAATGGAAACATTAAAAGACACTAAAATATGTTACAAAGTACAAATAGGAAGTTGTAAATCCGCAGCCATTCAAATAACATAAACAAATGTGAACGACAATGGAAAGTTTTGGATAAAAGCTCTAAGATCCAAACAATATGCATATTTATAATAACAATTGAGTTGTTTAAGTGCTATAAAAGAAGACCTAGTTTCTACAGAAAACCTGAGCCAGCCAATCCAGTTGTTGAAATATAAAAGCAAATCATTGTGATTCATCATTTCAAGAAACTTTTTGAAGATCACAAAACCAAGTCAAACTATGCTTAGAAAAGTGCCAAGCCCAAACATTCACATTAACATTAATTTCCGTGTGGTTAGTCGGGTGAATAAACCAATTTCATTTATCAGACCATCACTACCTTCCCGATTGCGATCCCGATCCCAATCCCTATCCCGATCACGATCATTATGGTTGGGTGATGCGAACATAACGATGATCGCGGTGATGACTCTTCAAAACCTTCTGGTTAAGCAGGCTTCGCAAAAGTGGTTGATTTATATGGCTCATTTTATTAAGCGGACGACGAATAAATCGCTTTGTAAATTGATGATATTTTGAGTGTAAAAAGCAAGGGATGATATCATCCGAAGCGAGATGTTCTGGGCTTAGCTTAACCTTAGGACGCTAAGTATACTCGTATACAAGCTAGATATATAATAAGGTACATATGTACATATGTGTATGGAATGCGAGGCCCTTAATACACACTCTTGCTATCGCCCACTGATAAACACTATTCGAAACTCAAATATTTTCCAAAACACGACTTGGAACGCCCACTTGGCAGACACTTGGTAACTCTTGAAAATCACTACTATTTCATTATAATTTTTTTCATTTTTAGTATGGCAATTAACATAAAGTCTAATAAGGCAAGGCAACCATATTCGAGTGTGCGTGAATTTGTATTTTTGTTTGTTTTTTTTTTTTTTGGTAGCCAAAAGCCAGATGGATGACAATTTCAGTTGGGTTTAGTTGATTTCGCTGGCAGTTGACACTTTCAAAATTCCGCTCACACATTTGTGCCATGAATCTTGCACATGGAAAGCTGAAAACTGAAAACTTTTGGCCGAAAATCGAAAGCGGAAAACTTAGGCGTAGCACACACAACACACACCACACACACAACACTGAATGGGTGGCCAACGCGGCGTATGAGCAATCTCCAACCTGTTTGAAAAACGCCCACGCCACAGATTGGGGATTCGGATTTGAATTGGCTTTGGCTTTGGCTATGGCATTTGGGATTGGGATTGGGTTTGGGTTTGGGATTGGGCCAGCCAGCTGGGCGACCAGTTGGTTGGAAAGTGATTTGAATTTGGAGCACCCAGCCTCAACCCACTCTTTTCGTTCCCCGAAATGGTTATTTTATTTCACTTACCATTTTGCTGGCTGTTTTGCTGTTTTTGTTGGCGTTTGCTTGTGCGCTTTTTCGATGAGATTTAAACTTAAAAAAAATGTGAAAAAATACAGTTGACATTAGTTTTGGGCGAGCTGATGCTCGGGGGAAAGCGAAGCACTAACTGAATGGGAAAACATGAACAAAAATGTAAAACAACACATGATTTGCACAGCCTACTAAAAAAATGTTTGCTACTTTCCTTTAAAACATATGTTAACTTAACGTTTTTACCTACTAAACAAGTTAAAAATCCAGTAAGCTCGCTAAGCACTTTAGTTACTTAGTTCATTTAATTATTATTTAATTTAAATTATTAGCAAAACAAGTAGTTGTCAAAATAAACTGCATGCATCAATTATATGGGGTTTCGGAATGCGAACCCATGTTTTAATAAAACATCTTTCTCAAACTGCTCAGTCGCACCTCGTTGAATCAAAACAAAGTAACCCCCATGGCAAAAGCTGTCAATAAAAGGCAAGTTCGACATACAAAAAACAGACGGCATCGAACAATTTAAGTAATTGTAGCAAATATTAAAAGTTTCCCCTCCATTTTTGCGTACTTATTTTTCCGTTTGTTTATTTGGTAGTATACCGTGCAAATTTCAGTTGAGAACCGGGATAGAAACGGCAGTGGCGGCAATAAAAACACGCGAAACGTTGGCAGAACGCGAAAAAAGGTCGAAAAAGAGCGCGACTCGTATTGGTTATATAGTGCGTTATAAATCGGATGGGATTGGGATTGGATCGGATCGAATCGAACCGAACCGGCGAACGTCGGCCAAGAAACTGAAACTGAACCGCCGGTCGTCGGCGTGCGTGGCAGCGCAGCGGCAGAGGAGGGACTGAGGAGCGACTGCGGAGCGGCAGAGGAGGAGCTGCGACAGCATGGAATTGGAAATGCTGGGGCCGGAGCTGCTGCTGCCGTCGCTGCCCGCGTCGTCGACGCGTCAGTTGGTGCGCAGGCGCAGTGTTCGCGCTGCGGGGAGCAGGACTACCAATACCGCCAGCGGTCCCGCGCCCGCCCACTTCCACAAAACCCCATCCGCATCCACCGGCAAGCGGAGCCGGCTCTCGCCTCCCAGTTCCGGATACATAGCCGTGGTGCGACCAGGCAGCAATGCCACCCGGGGGCGGCAGGATCGAAGGAATCCTCGGGAGCTGCCAGTGAAACCTCCGTTGCAAGCGCTGTCCGCCAGGGTATGTGTTATGCTAATCATCGGAGGCTCTCCTTATTTTACAGTCCTAAGATGAAAGTCAGCTAATATGTGTAATATTCATAGTGTAAGGTGCTATCTTATGGTCCTGAAACCACATAGATAACATAGAAACATAGATAAATAAAATAAGTAGCGTAAATTGACTTACAAGAATTACATATATACTAACCATCACTGTAAAAACAATGCATATAAATGTATGCAAAATACTAATATTACGCTTCGTAAATTCTGCTAAAAGCTATATGTTATCAGAATAGCAGTTATTATATTTATGAGCTATGTATTGTATGTTTCCGATATGAAATAACATGTACATAAACAATTCCAGTTGCTTGCCCACTCCAATCCGTATCAGGATGATAGGTCGCTTAAGGAGCGGCGATCCGTGACCGAGCGCAGTCAGCGATCGGCGGTGAAGACCCATAACCAGCACCACCCAACGTTGGCCAGCTCCCGATCGGCCTTCGGTGGCCACTACACCGTGCCTCCAGCGCCGCCCACTCTGCCCAAAGCTGCTCCTCAGCCGCCTTGCCGCCAGATGCGTCCATATCTGCGATCGGTCCGCGCCAAGGTCGACTCGCACCTGTGCCCCCAACTCTCCACAAATCCACGTTGGGCCTCCAAGTGTCAGCAACAGCAACCCGCCCAGCCGTGCTCCCAACGACCTTGCAAGTCCACCACGAAGGGCAAATCCCTGGCGGAGTCACACCAGCAGCTGGAGCTGCTGCTTTCGAGGATCGAGCGAGTCACCAATTATCAGCCACCGCCACCGCCACAGTCGCCGCCTGCCGCGCAATCCAAGAGAAGAGCGGCTGGCGCCAAGGTCGCCAAGGGGGTCAGCCGCCAGATGGCGCAACCACCTCCAGTGCCAGCTGGAACGCCAATGCTCAGCGCCCGTAGAAACAACAACAACGCCATGAGAATAGATGGCGGAGGCGGTGCTGACTTGGAGGAGGATCGCGATCGGAATGGGGATGGGGATGGAGCAGGGGATCACACCGACATTGCCATACCGTTCGTCCAGAATCCGCAGCGTCTGCCGCTGGCGCAGCGGGATGCGCTGATGAAGCTTCTGCAGCGGAGCGAACAGCACGACAAGGGCATTGTGGATATGGTGGGCGCCACCGGGGACTCCACCCGGGACACCATGCTCATGCTGCTCCAGATGATGTGAGTACACATTAACCGACTAGTTAGTATTTAATTTTGCCATCCTCCACACATTTTAAATACAACCCGGCATGAGCATTATAGTAGAGATGTTTTTGAAATAACCTTTTTCAGTTACGGTTGTAAAATTGATTCGGTTATTTCCGTTGAAACGGTATAATGGTTACGGTTTCGGTTGGCTACCCAGGTGGCAGCAATATTTGAAAATAATAATCAAATAGTGTTCCTCCAGATGCTGAAGGTGCCTCATACATATAGCTGAAGTACTGAGAATAGCGTCTACAATTATTTTAAAACATTGTACTTATCGCCAATTCTCCATTCCTTTATTAAAAACTGTGTTCTTATTTTAGAACCAGTTATTAATATTTTCTGTAAGCGAAATCTGTGGTATCGCAGCATTCCTATAATACAAACATTTCCTGCTATAGTTTAAAAATGGAATATACTGGGTAAAAAAACGCCTGATTTTAGTAATTGAGAATTGTGAGTAGCGTTGCTATTTGTTTTACCTCCGCTGTTGACGAGGTGGCGACGTTTGGGGCGCTGCGACTGCGCCGCGGCAGAGGCAGAGGCAGAGGCAATAGCAGCGCCAGAATGATGTCATCGCCGGTCGTCAGCTGAGAAAGAGAGTGTGGGGGAGAGTACGAAAGAGATGGGAGAGGGGGAGTTCAGGGGGAATGGGAAAGTGGGAGTCAGCTGCCAATGCTCCTCCGCTGACGCCATCTGCTCGGCCGGCGTCGCTGCCGATGCTCTGTCCGCGCGGAGTTACTCATGTACTCACAAACACACACACACCACTACACCTTAGCCGGTGCTAAAGCACCACCAACAACAACAACAGCAGCTCACGAAGAACTAAAACAGGAGCAATAAGAACAACAACAAGAGCCGCTAGGTTGTTTTGGTATTTGTTTTGATTTTTTTTTTTTTGTTGTAGTTCAAACCCTCTCTTTCTCACTCTCTATTCTGTTGACCCATTCTTGTGGACTCAAACTTACTCGACATACTTAGTACCCTACAGTTCATTTCACTTATTTTAATGCAATTGAAAGCAATTTCAATATTTCAAATATACACTATCGTTGAAAGACATGCCAATTTTAAAAATTTTATTGAACAATTCGAGTGCAAATTTGATTATTCGCGAGTATTTTTATTGCGAGGCAATTGGCAATTATATCATGAAATGATTAAAAAGAATTAATGACAAAGACTTCCAACTGTAATGATGTTTTGGATTGGCAATAAAAGCATTAATGCTCAATTATCTATTAATAATGTCTATACTTTGCTTTTATACATATTATACATATTATATATGCATGTGTATAAGGCGTACTTTTAATGTGAAATTTAACGCGTTTTATCTGCCAGAGAGGCTTAGTTGTAGATACCTATCTAACTGTTAAGATAGTCAAAGTCGGTGACTAATGGCAAGTTCAGGGTCGCCCAGCTCAACGCTCTCCCGCTGATTTTGCGGATTACTGGCTTTATATGGTTCTGGTTTTTGGATCATTACTGCCACCGCTAATGTCTCATGATGTCTCGCGTTTTCGTTACTTTTTTATTGTCTTCGGTGTGCAAATTTGGCGGCTTTTTGTTGTAGTATTTTTAGCAGTTTGCTCTTTTGCTGATATGAAGAACGTAGGTAATCAAATACTACGATCGGCGAGCGCTAATCGACAACTGTTTGCAGTTGGAATTTGCGTTATATGGGCATATACCGTGTATTGGGCTATATTTACCTAACCAAGAATTGGCAATCTTCCGATTTCGGAGCTATACAAAGAGTGATGGGTTTCATATAAACCAGAAACGCTACAACCTTTCAGTTGGTCGTTTAGTATGATCCAAAAACCTAACCTTTCTTTTAACCTAATCTATTCAGCGGCTCGATAGAGAATACCTTTTAAACCTTTGAAAAATCCTATCCTATAGATCTGTAACCCCGTTTTCGTAGTTCCTATATCTTCATTTCGATATATAACTTACTGGGTACGTATGGCTATATTTACCTATTACTACTCGAAAAACTTTTAACCTTTCGATAAATCGTATCCTTAGATCTAAAACCCCCTTTTCGTAGTTCTCATGACTTTATTTCGTCATTTTCTCCACTCTGGACTTTTGTTTTTTCTGCTGCTGATGCGCTTTATTTGTTTGATCAATAAATTTGGCTTTGCCATTTAGCGAACGGTTAGCCCCATCTCTTTCTGCCGGAGGGTTGCCTCATCGGGCGGTGTTTATTAATTAATTCTTCAACGGTTTTTGGCTTCTCCATTTCCAAGTTTGATTGTGTCATATTATTTACGTGCGCTATCACTGCGATGAAATTGGAAGGGGTTTCGCCAGTATCGGAAAACGGGGGGTGGCGGAAGGATGGGTTGTTGTGGAGCCACAACCCTAACCCCAGTGACCCAGGCTTTGAATAAAGGCACCAATGAATGAGTGAATCAATCGCGTAATTTTACTCTACAAAAGCAACCAGTTGCAACGAAAACAGTTCGTTAACATTTAGTTTTAAGTGCTGCAAATTGTAAATTTACTTTATAATCTCAAAGACCTTCTAGTCTGTATGCTCACATAATTTACTTAATATATATACCTTAATAAAGTAGGAGAAAGCTACATTAAATTTAATGTCTCCATTAGAAAATGTAATAGAATTCAAAGAATGACACATAATAGGGTACTTCAAAATGGGTTTTAGGGAAATTGTAATTTTCCTATTTTTGGCATTGACCTTGAGGCCGCTGCCTTCCACTATCACTGCGAAAAATGAAGTTGAGTGGGTGGCTGGGAGGTTTTGGGGCTTGGGACATTGTGTGCACTTCCCCGAGGGGCAAGAAAACTTGCGTGACGGCAGCCCATATGAAAGCCATGCCAACAGCTCCCCGGACACCTCTTTCCCGGAGAAAACGCCAAAAGCTGATGCAATAACTCAACTTTATCTATATAGGGAACATAGGTTGGTATACGTTTGATATTATCATTTCTATTCATGAATACGGGTGTTATATAAATGAAAATGAAAATAACTTGAACACTTTTATCAGCATCTGTGATAATGTCTAAGTATCTCTAACTCGAATTATTATAGATCTAATTTGCTTATTAACCTATTTTTTCAGACCCCTTAGCCTGAGTGATTCCCCGTATAAGGATAAATTATTGAAAGAACATACCCACCTGAAGAAGCGCCAGAAGCAGGAACAGCAGCTACGCCCCGGCGACGAGCGTTTGAAGGAGGTGAAGGCCCTGCATGGTTCCGATGGCCAGGTCTTCTCTTTCCGCACTTTGGAGGAGAAACTGCAGAACGAAAAGAAGGTGCGGGACTATATGGATGCGGAGCATAAGGTGCACGCCACGGGACAATACCATAGTGTGAGAAGTGCACTAGAGCATCGAAGCGTTCAGCATCCGCTGACCGAACGTCAGGAGCAGGCGATGCGGGAGCGGGCGCAGCTGGAGCGGGACAAGCAGCTGGTGATCAACTGTCGCGAGAAGCGTCGTCTGAAGGAGCAGCTATGGGAGCAGGGGGCACAGCCACCATCGCGGAATAATAACAACCAGTCCAAGAATCCAACTATGTCCACACCCACTGATCCTTGGAAGCAGGTCCTTCAAGACCGGGACCGCTTTCAAGCCAACTGCAATCGCAGCTGTTTCTACAACAATTCGCAGAGCTCAGCGCCCTGGAAAATATATGCCAAGTAAGACATTAATTTTACAAAGGTAAATTATAATATTTTTAATATACTCTATAGAGTGGCTAGCAAGCTGACCTCGCAGCTAATCGAAAGCGTGGATGTCGAATTTCATCGCAGTGTAGCAAATTATATCAACGACATTTTAGGCCACAAAGTGAACTGATAATTGCCACATCCTGCTATTTTGAACCTCACTGTCAACCTTTTTAGCTGAGTTTCCAGAACTGAATGTAAAGAGTTGTACTACTCTTTTACGGCATCTTGAATAAGATTTTATTCCGCCACAAGGGGACAAATTGTAAGTGTAGTAAAATTAACAGATTTTTTAAAATTCCATGGACAAAAAGTTATGTAAATAAAAATTATTGTGTGGATGGATAACGAGGGGTATCTATTTCAATATTTACTTAATATGGATCCCGAAAGTAGGCAATGATTTGAGCTTACTGTCACATTTTATTGTATACAAATTAAAGGCGTTTTAGCCAACTTTTTAAATATATGCGCCGCAATTCTACTGTTAAGAAAAACTTCTCTGTTATCAAATGATTATTGATTATTATTTTAAAGTGTTATTTGTTCATTTGCATTTTGCGGCACTTTATTTGGTGAACTGACTTAGCTCCAAATAATTTTAGGTTCCTTTTTCAATTGCGTGAAGTCATTCTCATTTAATGGTTCTCCAAAAATCAAATTCATCAATTTATACAGGGTGGCAGACAGCGCTTAGCAACTAACTAAGTTAAGGCTACCGAGCTAGACTAAACTAGGCGTAGGGTTCGTACTTAAGCCGACTTGCTGCCCCACTTGGTTACTTCTTCTCAAGTTAGAGCAGATTGCGAATGTGTGGCGTGATGTCAACAGTGGCTAGTCAATGTCAAGTCTGATCCTTCATCGTTAGGCTACGTGCTAGGCTTAATCGCTAAACTACAACTAAGGCAATGTGTGTGGGGTGGGGCCTGGGCCTGTCTGTGTGGTGTGTGGTGTGTGGTGTATAGTGTATTCTGTATCTGTGTCTCTGGCAATGTGTGGGAGTAAAAAAAAGTACAATAAATAGGTTGATCCATTTCGCAGCTGGCATGGACATCATCCTCCGGTTCATCCACAGGGCTCTGGCTGAGGTGGAGGTCCTGGTGGATGGAAAATCGCATCTCAGAGCAGGTTGGAGCAACTTGCCTCCGCGGCGGCACAGTTTGTGGAGCGGGGGAGGAACTGGATGTGCTGCCAGGTGGCGTTGAAGCTGAAATAACACGGAACATGAGTGTTATGGTGCTGGTGACTAAAATGGCAACCACCCACAGATAGCTCTCGGCCAGCTGACTCTCTACGAGCGGCTTGATCCTGGCGTAGTCCTTGTCCGCAATGGTCGTGCTGCAGTGCTGCTGCATGTAGGAGAGCGTAAAGAGTTCGTTCTCGTTGAAGGACCTTAGTCCAGGTATCCTCAGCCGCCTGGTAAGTCCGAGGGCCTCATAGGTATTAGCCTGATCGATTCCCGATCCCTGGATGGCACTGCCCGCATCGATGGCATTCACAAAGTTACTCAGCGCCCTCGCTGCCGTTCGAGCTGCACTCAGCGTTACATGGAAGCTCTTCAGAGCACTACTCGACAGCTCATTCAGCTCGTGGACCAACCGTGGTGGCTGTCCTGCTGCCAGACAATTCACATCCGGCTGGGCATACCGAATCTCCGGCGCCGCATCACTGATATCCGTGCTCTGGGTGTTGAACTGCAGCAGGAAGGTGGAGAAGTTATCGATCAGGGCCTCCAATATATCAGTGCCTATGCGGGCAAAGTTCACGGCTCTGCACAAAATGGAAAAGGAGAAGAAATCATTAGAAAGAGCAATCTCTAAATATTTCAAACGAAATACATATACTATAGAAGTATATATTCGATTTTACGTACACAGGATATCGGTAGTCATAGTAATTGGAGCTAATCAACACCTTGGAGACAAGCAGCATATTCAGTTTATTGGAGTAGGCGATGGCCTGTGGATTGTCCCTTGTGTACATCTCGGAAACAATGCTGTTGCCAAACAGAGCGAGATGGATGGATGCATGGAGAGGTAAATGGATCGTGGAGAAAGTGTTAGAAAGTTTTTGGCTCAGTAGATGCACCTTGCGCAAGACTTACACATCCAGTATGGCCAGCGGGCCCAGCTTCTTCTCCATCTGCGATCGACGGAATGTCCAAATCCACTCCAAATGCTCCACGAAAAACACATTATTGAGTATCAGTTCGTTGTAGTATTGCGCAAGATAGTTGGGCTGCTGCAACACCTCATCGGGTATGCCAAACTGCAGCCGCATCTCGTTGAGTTTCTTTTGGATAAACTGCCTGGCCGCCGGCTCCAGCCATTTGGCTTGATCCAGCGAATCTTTCAACTGATTCCGCAAGCTGAAGAACATCAGCTTGAGGAGCTCCTCGTTGCCCCGGGTCTTGTTTAAGCCCCTACTCTTGGACGTCACCGATTCGAATTGCTGCCTGGGTGGCTGTTGCTGCAGTGCATCCACCGCAAAGGGCAGCCAATCGCGCACCACTTTGCTGCATATGAGCCACCTAGGATAGCTGGCCGTGCGTCCATACAAGGCATGGTCAAAGTTCTCTGCCAAAGTTCGATACTCCTTGGACAAATGCGGCAGCATTTTACGAGCCAGCGACCATATTATAAAGTTGTTAATAGGCCTGTAAATAAAAATATATAATTAAGCATTAGCTTCTGGGGAAATTCACAACTATACTTACTTTTTATCCGAAGAGGAGAGTAAAACAGATAGTGCATGCATAACCTCTGGATCTCGTACCAAGACCTCGGTGTCTTCAGTGATTTTGGTTTTTGGGAAAATGGCTTGTAGAGACTCCACAATGGGCAACTAAAGGGGATCCATATTAGATCGTTATAACTTAAAACAAATTAGCTTGGCTTACAGATGGTGCCATAATTTTCAGATCGGCCAGACGCATTAGCTTATTTACATGACGATTTCCATCAGCTTTGGCGTCCTCAATGTGATTCACAATGCGTCGTTCATAGTGGAAAATATCGTCGGCAAATAGATCAGCCTCCCGGGAAACGATTCCTAATAAAATAAATCAATTTAATGATGAAAACCAACGATTTTAAAGCCCAAAACTCACCCATATTGATGGCAAAGTCCCGGAGGAGCAGCTTATAGCCACGAACCACTTCCTCATCAGCATCATTGCCATAGAAATACTTGTCCGGCAGACCTAGTTCCCCCTCATCCAGGGTGATCACATAGTCGTGGGGATTACTAAAGCCGTTCTCCACGGTGACGCGATAGTAGGGAAATATGCCATGTTTGGCCTGTAGGACGACCAGAACCCGCTTGTATTCCCAGGATTGCAGTCGATTTGAGTCGCGGAATGCCTGCCAGCCATCTATATATTAATCAAAAGGCGTAAATTAGTGGGATCATGCGAATAGTTCTGGTTCTTTCAGTGAAAACCCCCGATTGAGTTGGCTATGCGCTAATAGAAATTCCACAGAACCAAAAGCCAATGAATTTTGGCAAGAAGATATCAGTTGCATGCACACCTTATACCATAGATCCGCATACACATATACTGTACACACAAACAAGTTTATATTGATGGATATCGGTGGTTTATGGCAATTAAAAGCGCTAAAATGTTTGGCTGCTTGAAATTTTTCGGGGCGCTCAGTCCGTCTTCTCTTGCAATCATAAAATATTAAAACAAATTAATGATTTGGGCAGCTAAAGGGAAAATTTTGGAATGCTCTTTCTTGAGAAATCCCTTCTAAAGACATTATAAAATATGGCAAATGATATATGTAAACTATTCTAATTACGATTTCTTACTAAAATGCAATGCAATTTTAGTTTACATAAACAGTGCAATCTGCATTTCTGAAGACTTGCTTTTGGGGTATCAAGTAATAGTATTATATATGTATGATACTTTCATACATAAAGTACAGCCAACTTGAAGATAATTCGCCTAAGATTATCGATAATGTGGATCCCTTATCACCCCAACAAGTCTTCATAGAAACCCCATGGTGTGGGGTCACCATTATGACTGTCTTCCACGCAAGCTTCATCATCCAGTCGAATGACATGCAGACATAGAAATTGACTGTGTTTCAGTTTGTTGACACCTGTAATTAGCACTTGATACTGGTACCAAAAAGCAAAAGATACAAGAGGAATTAAATCAAAATACCAGCCGTGCTAGCCGGATTTCGTAGTTATAACACAGAGTTGGATGTTCGATTTTGGGATTTTTGGGTGTTATAGTTTTTTAACGATTTATTGCAAACCACTTTAATTAACTTCAATTAAAGGCAAATCTTGGCCGCTATATAAAAGGTGACAGTGGTTAGTGACTGGCATATCAATCCAGTGCAACAGCTTCAGGGCGACAGTTGCTTCTCCTTCTCCTTCTCATCCATCCATCCATTCTACCAAGTCCAGCATGAAGCAGTTTGTGGTAAGTCCAAGGAGCATCTTCAAGCGATTTATGGAGCGGCTAACTAAAAGAGTTCGAAAACCTTAAGGCTTTGGCCGTTCTGGCTGTGATTGGCGGTTCCCTGGCCGCTCCTCGTCCGGATGTCAGCCATCTGGCGGGATACAGCTATCAGGCTGGTGGCTACAACGGCAACCTGGTGGCCAACCAGGTGCTCAGTGCTCCCCTGACCACGGTGTCCTCCTCGTATCAGCCCACGGCCACTGGTACCAACTACTTCAGTTCGGCACCATCCATTGGCCAGCTTAATCTGGGCTCCTCCGTCGGCGGTGGCATCGTGAGCGACAACATTGGACTGGCCGGTCTGCAACCCGGACCCACCATCAACTACAACGAGCAGGAGTCATACATCAGCCACCTGGCCAACTTCCAGCCCGCCCAGGTCAGCAAACACTTCTACATCCACAGTGCTCCCGAGGATCACGATGAGCAGCAGATCGTGCGCTATGTGAACGTGGGCAGGCCCCAGAAGAACTACCGTGTGGTGTTCATCAACGCCCCCACATCCACCACCAGCAAGGCCAAGATTATCGCCAACGTGGCGCCCGTGGAGGAGAAGACCGCCATCTATGTCCTGTCCAAGAAGTCCAATGCCCTGGATGTCACCGCCGAGGTGGTCACTCAGCGCCCGGTGGCCAACAAGCCGGAGGTCTTCTTCGTCAAGTACAAGACTCCTCAGGAGGCGGCCCACGCCCAGCAGACCATTCAGGGTAAGTTCCCTCACTACATCACTTTTAAATAGGAAAATCTTGAAAAGATCTCTGTAAAAAGAGAAATCGCATCAATGATGATACATTTTTAAAGTCTAATCAACTTCATATCACCCTGTGCCATCCAAATAGCCAACTATGATGCTCTGGGTGGAAGCTCTGAGACCAGCAACGAGGGTGTCATTCCCGTTTCCTCCGTGATCGGCAGCCTGGGCGACAATGGAGCCTCCGGTGTGTTGACCGATGCCAGCGGTAGCGTGAGCGTCGTGGGCACCGGCGGAGTTCCCACCGTGGATGCTGGAGCCAGCTACGATGCCGAGGGCAGCCAGCGTCAGGTGATCAGCACCGTGACCAGTGGCACCAATGCCCAGGCCACCTATCTGCCAGTGAGGCCGGTGAGGAAGTAGGTGAATCACCTGGATTCCATCACACAGTACGCATCCACTGCCAATGAATGACACACACACGCCCTAGCCTCGGAAGATTCGGACTGAATGGAAAGCCCCTTGGGTTTGGGGCCCATTACAGTGGAATCTCGTCGGGGAAACCTTTGCGATTTTCCTATTTGGTTTTGCCTTCGGCATTAATTCATATTTTTTGTGTATAATTTTTTTTTTTTAAATAAACTTTAAGAGTTCTTATAGGCATTCACAAAATGTAAAGTCCACTGAGTTTGTTTTTCGGTAGATCATATCGAGTGCAAGTACAAATATACAGCTGGAATTGTATCATCATATCTATAGACTATAGATTTTCACCTTCGAATGGAAATCCCTGGAGTGAATTGGTCTGGTTGAACCGCCTGCATCTTGCATAATCGGAAAGCCCTCGATGTCGCCCAAAAAAACCTAATACTAATCCATGGGACAGCCTCAACTATTTGGCAAGCTGCTCATAATTGTTCAACCCGCTCAACTGGCCCGTTCAACCCGTTCAAAGCTCTACTCAAAAAGCCACTCGGGTAAATAAATTAGCGACTTAGAGGAAACTCAACTCCGAGTTGGAATTGGAATTGAAATCGAAAAAGCTATCGCCATCGGTGGTCGCCAAGGTCGCCATTTGGGCCAATGCAAGTCGCATTAAAATACCTAAGGGTATTAAATAAAAATTAGCCATACTAAATATATAAAGCGGCAATTGGGTCACACCCGCAAACAAATATGTTATCAATTACTAATGGGAGGATGGAAAACCTCAGTTACCATCTCCCATATCTCCCTCGGAGATCTGGCGATCTGCATATCAATGGGCGGCGGCCAGATCTTTTGCATAAAGATAATCACACCTACTAAATAAAACCTACCGCGACGGACGGTAGCCGCCAAGAGGCGAGGTCCGAAGAAGATTGAGATCGAAAGATCAGAGATTTGTCCCTCGATTCGATTTCTATTACTGTCATCATCAATAAAATGTTACATAAATTTTCAGCACAGCGAGCGATCGCGATCGCAGGTGGTTATAAATATGGAATGCCTAATTGATAATTATCATTTTGTTCGGTTTTCCATAATCCACAGGCGATATGCAATATGGGATCTACGATCTGTGATCGCTAATCGGCTAATGGCTAAATTAGTCTAGTCGGATTGAAAATCGATTGGAAACTGTTAGAATACGGATTACTTCATATTCCAAACGTCACCCATTGTTTGTCACCACAAATTGTCCATCGATTTTATGCGTTTATGTTCTGTCATCAATCTTGGGGGCCATAAATCCATTCAAAGCCATTATTCAAATATGCTCGATGACTGCAAATTATGTTTTATGTGTTTATTTTGGCAATATTTATGCGACCTCCAAAGCGCCGGGTGAATGTTGGTTCGAGTCTTGGCTTTTGGCTGACTCATCGATGCTTTTGCGTTGGGGTCACCATTTATGGTGACAAAAATAGCGAAACACCAACCGAAATCGGTGGGAAATTCCGGATAGCGAACAAGATGGCTAATCTGAGCGATAATGATTTGATCTTTTAAGGCAACGGAAACTAAATTAGACTCAATTCTGAAACAATACCATTTTCATGTTCAATACATGTTGAAACGGAAAAGGTTCCACGTAAAAGGACGTAAACTTAAATCTGAGTTCGAACTGAGATCATACGATCTAACTACAAAATATAACTTATAAGTAAGGTAACCAGATCCATGTGCACTTTCCAGTTCCCAGATACTCATTGATCAATCCAACTGTTATAGATATTCGCAAATTAATTGATAGGCCCGAAACTAATGATAGACGTGAACAAACAAACTAAAAAATAACCCAGCAAACGTGTTTCTGGACAAGATTGATGCCGCCAGCGAAGATAAGGTGCCGTTTAATGAGATTCGCTAGGCCCCCATTCAATAGTTTCTTTCTGCAGGTAAGACAGGCATATGTATATACCAGCTAGTTATGAAGTCGTATATTTAGATATTTGCTAATCCATCGTGAATGCCCAGTCGTCCACCAGAGTCACCGCACCGGCCCAGTCAAGTTCAATGTCAGAGAAGAGTTTTTGTCCAATGGTAAGTCAAAGCTATGGTGCTTTCTGTGGCTGTTTCGACTGCGTGCGTTCTAATTTGAATAAATTTTAGGTCACATCACAAGGCGTATAGCAGTAGACCCATAGGCCCAGAGAAGACGGTCATCATCGCCTTTGGATATCAAGAGCAGCGGCGATGATGATGTTATATGCGGCATTTGCATTTGCATAAACGGCCAAACAGCGACGCCGACAGAAGAGGCAACCATTTGACAATCGGAGCATATTTAAGACAAGTGGAGCGGCCCAAAATGCAATCATTGCCTCGCAGCAATTCGTCAACGAAGCATCCCAAACAGGAGAACTACCACTAAGGATTACAAACACTCAGGAAGGGATTACACATATAAAAGCACAGCATGTTTGTCCAACAAGTACTCGTGAGCTGCCTGATCCTGGTGGCTTTGACCCAAGCCCGTCCTCAATACGGCTACGAACAGCCCAGTCCGGACCACTTCATCGGCGGTGGATCCGCTCCCGTTGCTGGTGTGGGAATCGGTGGCTCCTCCGGTGGCGGTCTGGTCAGCATCCAGCCACACCATGGTGGGGACAAGTATCTGCCGCCGGCCAGCACCACCCTGGCGCCCATCATCAACAAGAAATTCTATCTGGTTTCCGCACCCGAGGATCACAGCAATGATGGCAAGGTGAAGCATCTGGTCCTGGGACGTCCGCAGAGGAACTACCGCGTGGTGTTCATCAAGGCTCCAGCCGGCGACAATGCCAACGTGAAGTATTCCGCCGAGTTTGCGCCACAGGAGGAGAAGACCGTCATCTATGTGCTCAGCAAGAAGGACAACGATGTGGACGCCAGTGATATTGCCACGCCCGCACCCACGCAGCCCAGCAAGCCCGAGGTGTTCTTCATCAAGTACAAGACCGATGACGAGGCCAAGCAGGCGCAGCAGGAGATCCAGGGTCAGTACGACAAGCTGGGCGGCACCAACGAGTACCAGGAGGACAACAATGCCCCCATCACCTCGGTGATCGGCAGCCTCGATGGTCTGAATCCCGATGGTAGCTACAACTACCGCCAGATCGCCAACCGCCCAACGGCAGTGGCGCCCAACACTCAGTATCTGCCCAGTTTGCTGAAGCACTAGAGGATGTCGGCACCAGTAGATCATCTCTGCATCATCCAAATCAGAAAAAACAAAACACCCATTCTCGAACCCTATTGTGTTGTATATTTTTAAGAAATCCCTCAATATTTTTTTGTATTTTTTTTTGTTATATCGAACTTTTGTTAATAAAAAGCTTATATTAAAAAGAAATATTAAGCAATGTGTTTAAATTTTTCAAAGAAATTATATCATTTTTAAATCAACTAAATTTGATCGTAATTTCTTTTATCCAGTGAAAATTCATGAAGAGAGGTGGTATTGAAAAATTTTTCAGTAATTTCCGATGCTTCTGTTTTCAAAACACCTAACATTCCTCGGTTCACCAGTATACATATATATATATTTATTTATTTATAGATATATACATATATATGTAAAAACAAGTATGAAAGAAGTCAGAAGGTCAGTCATTTAAAAAATTAATAAAAATCGTATAAATAAAATTGAAATGTCTCTTCGGCGCAATTAAATTAAAAACGAAATCAAAATCCAAATCAAAGTCAAAGTCAAAAGTAAATCGATGCAGAAAAAACTTTTCGGCTTTGTTTTCCCCGATATTCAAATCAGCAGTCACATTTCAATATATGTCCAAATCCAAATCGGAATCGGAATCGGTATTCACAAATCGAAGCCAAAGCTGCCGTTAAAATTTTCAACAGAAATTAGCTTAAATGAAGTGAGAAATCAAAATAAGCTCATCAAATTTAATTAAATAGCAGAGTTTTATATTTTGATTTTGGATTATTCCTCTTTATTTTGTTGCTTTGATTGGGCCATTAAACTGACGCTGCATAAACTCGGCCCAAAGATCGATTGATTAATGCTCAATCCGGAGCTAATGGCACCCCAAGATACTCCACAAATCGTGAAATTGAAGAGAGGAAATAAAACAACCAAGTGCAAACCAATTTGGACATCAGGGAAGTTATCTCTTCTATTTATTGGCATTTGCGTTAACGTTAATTGATATTTAATTGCTGCAATAAAACAATGTGTGGGAAAAATAACAGCGAGCAGTTGGGTATTGCAAAATAATACTACTTTTGACTCAAACGAAGAACTTTATGCAATTCCAAGCTATTTATTCCATAAATAAATAATGTGTCAACACAGCCGATTATTATTTTTGACCTCCCACTCTTCAGCATTATCCGTTGACCTCCCAAAAAGCCAACTATAACATCTTCATAGGCCACATCTAACCCACTTATCTATGCACATGCCGCTTATGGCCAAACAATTTTTCTTAATAAAGCCGAGCATAAATCAAATTAGCTGTACCATTTTGCTGAAATGCGATATGAAAGTGTGGGAATTACGCGCCAATTTATGCAAATCCAATGCACAAATACATATATATGTATATATAAATTTATATATAGACTGTGAGATTCCGCCAGCCAGTCATTGGTTATATTTTAATTGTCTCTTGTTGACAACAACGCGAAAAGGAGACCAAATTAATCTACTAATCAGCGACGAGGCTGCGAACCAAATACAACTAACTGAAATCGGAATCGGAATCGGAATTGGCCGAAAAATGCAGATGGTAACAGAGATCAACTGGAGTTGGCCAAGATCATTAGTCAACGGTGAGGGCGTTAGATGCTGGGCCTGATCCACCTAAATGCTTAAGACCACGGAGCACATCAATATCCGAATCCCACCTGATGATAAATGACCTGCAAATCGGTGAGATGTGAGAAGAGCATAACGAAAAGGTATGTCAAAACCGAAGCAAATCAAACTTTAATTAATTGCTGTTAAAGTTAAGGGGATTTTTTGGGGGTAATCGGGTTTTCAAGTGAATTTTCAAGGCTATTCGGCCATGGACTTCTTGGATTAAAGAACGAACGAGTAAAAGGGTGTTGTAAACATCTAAACATTGATCAAACTAATAATTAATTAAAGCTAAAATATTAACAATGTTTTGATTATTAACTTTTATTTATTTTTTATATTATTTATTTTAACAAGGTTATTGCGAAACTATGATGGTACTGTACTCGTAGCATAGCAGAGTCAAATAATATAATTTAATATTGTGTAGCAATGACCAAGAGATAACATGTTTATTATGTAATATAGTAATATAAAAACCCTGAGGCAGCTTCTTTCTTTTTCCACATTTTCACGCACAATTAAATTTCGAGTCAAAGGCAAGTTCGTTACTCAAGTCTTTTGTTTGGCAGCTTTTAATGGAGCGATTTGAGGTCGGCAAAATATGTGAAAAAGCTAATTTTCACAAATTTTCATTCCTATCAAACTGTGCGATCTAAGTAGATCTCTTTTAAAAGTGAAGCTGAGGCGAAAAACGCAAGTCAGTTGTCTTCTGAAATTCGCGAAATGTTGAACATATTTGTGTGGCTATCACTATCGTTGTTAAGTCCCTCCTGGGCCCAAGGATCGCATTATTTACCACCACCAAATCCAGCCATGGAACCCATCATAACCAAGCAGTTTTACAGTATATCACCCGCCGAAGATCCCGAGGATCTGCAGCCAAGGACTAAACATTTGGTTATCGGACAGCCGCGCAGGAATTACCGAGTGATTTTCATCCGTGCTCCAACAGGAAACAGCGAGCATGTGAAATATACGGCGGAGTTGGCGCCCCAAGAGGAGCAAACTGTCATCTATGTGCTAACCCGGAAGCAACAGGAACTTGAGGCCGCGGATATTGTGGCACCACAGGAGAAGTCCCAGGCCGAACAGAAGCCAGATGTCTTCTTCATCAAGTACAAAACCAACGATGAGGCAGCGGCTGCCCAAAGGGAAATCCAAACGCAATACGACCAACTTGGTGGAAATACAGAAATCGCAGCGCCCTATGTGGCGCCCATAAAATCGGTGATTGGAGCGCTTGGCAGCCCCCAATATCCAGCAGCTCCATACCCGAATCCAACACAATCCCCCGGCTATCACTACGATAGACCGATCTCCACAATCTTGGCGCCAGTGGAACGAACTAACTGAAGCGCCGATTATATCCGCAACATGTTGAATATTCCATGCTATTTGCATATAATTGATAAGCCATTTCCACCAACGAATTCATCACAAAACCCGGCAAACGCGTAAAAAGTCTTTTTTTTTTTGTTTTGTTGTTTACCATAATTTGTGCAAACTTTTTTATCTGATTGGCTTTTGTGTTTAAAAAAAGTTACTGGCAAAAGTGCTTTGACCCTGTGACAAAGAAGAAGAATTTAAGATGAGGTTGCTAAGGGCTTATTAATTTGCCTATCAAGTGGTTTAATCAAAATGATTCAAGAAAAAGTATACAAATAATTTTATCACAACCAATAAATAAATATATAAAAAGTAGTACCTATATTTTATTGCATCTAATTTCGGCATTTTTGAATTTCGGAGCTTCAGGGGCTCCCAAATTTCGTTTTAGCTTGACAGTTTGCAAAAAATATAATCGAAAAACAATCTGCATAAATTTTGCAAGTCGCAACCGAAAAAAGAAACCGCAAAACGGCAATGCAGTTTTTTATGATGTGTCTCCCCATTGGCTCGGCTAGTTTATCTTCTTTTGGATTTATTTGCATTTGCATTTAATTAATGGAATTTTTAAGCCATTTTTGGGCATCAAGTGGGCGACCTTTTTTTGATTGGCAGCAGCAACAATTTGGCAGCAATTAATCTTGATACAGGTTGGCCAAAAACTGAATAAAAGCCAAGGTCGTGGCGAAAATTTGAAAATAAAAAGTGCGATTCTAAGTCGCCAAACTGAGCCTTTCCACACTCCAGTGTTTTCTTTATAAAATTGAGCATTTCAAGGTGGCCAAAATATATAAATAAATCACACATTGGTTTTAGCCAAAAGCGCAAACACAGACAATGGGCCTAAATCGGCCCTGCCCAAAACGCATTCAAATTATGGCAATTATATTGAAATGTTTCATCAACAAAACCAGCAGAAACACTCGGCCGACGATTTGTGGTTTTGGAATTTCTGCTTTTAGCCGCCTTAGCTAAAAATAAACCATGACACAACGCCTTCTATGCATATTTTCGAATACCCTTTGTTGGATGTATGAAAACGAAGAGAGAAAACACACTAAACACTACCAATAAATGTAATAAAATTATGCAGCTCATAGATAAATAAATATTAAAATAATACAAGTGTCTAGGGTATTTCCTGCCTTGTGTATTATAAAATCCTTTTCGGCACTTTGTTTGCCATGCCGCCGAACTTATCAAAACTAATGATATAATTTATGGGCTAACAAAGATTTGTCAAAACTCCGAAGATCAAAGCGGACCCAAAGTCCAACAATAATTGAAATGCCATTGCAACAACAGAAAGCCTCAAAATGATTTTAATTCAAGAGGCAGATTGTATAAGAAAGAGTATTATCAACAACAGCAGTTTCATTTCAATGGATTTACAGTACGTTTTAAAATACAAGAGTATACAGTATTCAAAGTAAAAGCTCAGTATGAAGTCAATGCCAATAAATTGCTGCGCCTGTGGCTAGAAAAAAATAATAAAATAATAACGCTCTTAGTGATGCTGTTTAATTCCTTCAACATAATTAAGCTCTTGTTAACAATGGCTTAATACGTCAAACTAAAGTCCCATGGCGGAAGCAGGTTCTATTCCAAGAACCAAGCCAGCAAAAAAGAAATCCCAAAAAAATCAAGAAAAATCACCGGCCAAAAGAAAAGAACCAACTGATTCTTTAAAGCATTTGTTTGAACAACAAAGACAGCAAACAAATTGCGTCCATCAATCAAGATGGTTAAAGCTATAATTTCAAATAAATGCGCACATGGTCAAATATGCGTTTAAAGATGGTAAATGCGATAGAAAGAGAAATAGAAATTTGTAAAGGAAATTGAAAGCACTGCAAGTGAAAGTAAACTTGCATAATTGCATTGAAAATACTGATGATAAGAAGCACATTTAAAATATTTAAACAAACAGTGCTTATATTTATTTCAAACATTTCCGGAATCACATTACCTAATCAATCGCTTTCATACCTCTCACTTATCTTCCAACGGCCAACAAACACGTATTCTGCTTCTAAAAAGAAATTTATATTTTAAACATTCCCAAAATGAGTAGCTCTGACGAGTCTCAGGACAGATACAAAGAGTCCAGTCTGGATGAAATCCATAAAAGGTCGGAGATATTGGCCAAAGAGAAGGTTATCCTAGAGCTATTCTCTCTTTTCGTTGAAACACCGGGTTTCTATCTCAAATACCGCAATCGCAAGCTCGATGAAATGATTGTCGTGAAGGTGAGTGAGTGCAGGGCATTTTTGGAGTTCAAAGTTAACTAAAGCCAGTCGTATAGTTATTGGAACACTTAGACACAAAAGATGTGGATGATCGCATAGTTTTACATGCTCTGTTGCGGCGCATCTACATAAAATTGTTCGATTTGCGTTCATTTATGCAAACGCAGTTCAACAATGTATTCTATCGATTTATTTTCGAAACAAATGACTTGCACTGCATCGCAGAGCTTCTGGAAATCTACAAGGAGTATGTTTTTTCCAAAGCTACATTGTTCATCACTTGATAATTGTTTTCTTTTGTCATTCGATCAGTATAATCAAGGCATATACTCCGCCATTAGATACCGAACAGGAGCAAGTGCTGTTTAGAATCCTTTTGCCTTTGCACAAGCCCCAATCGATGCCAGAGTATTTCCCTCAGCTGATATATTGTATTATCACATTCCTCGATACGAATCCATCTCTCATTGAAAGATATGTCATTGGTCTTCTGAAGCTGTGGCCGAAGACGTCCTTTGATAAGGAGACTTTGTTTCTGAACGAGCTTGCCAGTATTCTGGTAATAAGGGATGAGCAAGAGGTCGAGAAAGTCCTGGTCCCGGTGTTCAAACAAATTGCCAAATGCCTGTCTAGTAAAAGCTCTAAGGTAAGAGTCGACCGAATTGAACCTAAAAATGGTATATGGGTGACCCAGAGTAATACTACGATTCAGATAACTGAGTACACCATCCAGTTGTGGGAGGACACTGAGATTTCGGAGCTAATGAGGCGAAACAACGAGGTCATCATGCCCATCGTATTCCCATCCCTATTTCGCCTTAAAAGACTGCATTTGGGTGAAAGAATGCAGAAACTCATCTGCATTGCTTTGCAAATGTTACTGAGGATGAACAGGAAGCTGTTCATAAGCCTAACTGCTGAATACATACGTGCAGAAGAAAATTAGCGCTCAGATCCGCTTTAGAAAATGACACTGGGAGAAAAGCTGGCACCGATGGCACTCCAAGCCAAAAGGAAAAGACGCCTTTTCGTCGATTGCGGGTCTTGTTAATTTAGGGAGAAGATAAAGGACCCAAGCCTTAAAGAAAATGTTATATTTCCTTTTTACCTTTTGTACGCATTAATGTTGTATCAATATAACCTAATTAAATCGAATATCTCAAAACCTTTCTATATCTGCAAGCGGGCTAGTCTTTTCAATGCTGATCAAATTAAGCCAAAACACGTTCCTACGTATACTTATATCCATACTTGATCAACCGCAAAAGATCAATCAATCAATCAAGGATTTTGTGCAGACTGTTGCATATAAGTTCAAAATGGAGGCTTGATAACCACGAAACAATGCGACAAAACGGAAAAATGCAACCGAATTTTGTGCGATGTGTGTTGTGGAGCTAAGATCTATATTGGTATTGATATTGATATTGATATTGATACTGATCCACCTGCGATCAACATCGTCGACGAGCGGCGAATATATGTATATGAATTCGACTATGATTTATGATCGCACCGAAAAGAAACAAAACGAACCGAACATCGATGGACAACAGGTCACATTAAAGGAAGCGCGAAAGAGACGACGGCAAAAGGTGCGACAGAGAGGGCCAGCCAAACAAGTCAAATGTCAGAAGTTCGCCATAGTCAAATAATTGAGCAATTAATTAAACCGGCGAAAAGAAAAAAAAATTATAGAAAAATCGTAAGAAGCGGAGGAACCAATATTCGGGGTATAAAAGGCCACGAATCATCAAGGGGAAGCATCATTAAGCCAACAACTGAAAACCACTCAACATGCGTCTATTTGTGGTAAGTTAGCTAAAGGATTAACCGGAGGAGCGAACGCAGGATTATCCGGAGGATACAATTTTTTTTTTTTTTTTGTGTGCTTCTAGACCCTTTGCTCTCTGCTGGTTCTTAGCCAAGCCAAGCCCCAGGGCTATAGCTATGGCAGCGGAGTCTCTGGTACCTTGACCACCTCTAGCTCCACTGGAGGATCCAGCGGCGGTTTCCTGACCGCTCCCAGCCACTCCTCGGTGGCTTCCTACGGGCCGCTGGGCGCTTTCCAGACCGCCAGCGTTGGCTCCCTGGTGGGCAGCTCCTCTGTCCCCCATACGGTGAGCCACTACAGTGGTGGTCAGGGAGCCACCTACACCACTGGCGGCGGTAATGGTCACGGAGTGACCTACACCACTGGCGGTGGTAATGGTCACGGAGCCACCTACTCGACTGGCGGACATGGAGCCACCTACTCGACTGGTGGACATGGAGCCACCTACAGCACTGGCGGTTCCTCCAACTACGCCGGTAGCACCTTCACCGGATTTGGACCCTCGCCCAACATTGGATTCGGTACTCTGGCCGGCTATCAGGCACCCACCTACCAGCAGCAGCAGGAGCAGGAGATCCAGCGTGGCTTCCAGGAGCCCATTATCCACAAGCAGTTCTTCACCGTCGCCGCACCCGAAGAGCATGAGAATCTGGAGCGTTCCAAGCATCTGGTGATTGGACGTCCGCAGAAGAACTACCGTGTGGTATTCATCAAGGCCCCATCATCAAGCAATGCCAACGTCAAGCTGTCCGCCGAATACGCCCCCAAGGAGGAGAAGACCGTCATCTATGTGCTCAGCAAGAAGGACAACCAGCTGGAGGTCAACGATATTGCCACGCCCGCGCCCACGGTGCCCAGCAAGCCGGAGGTGTTCTTCATCAAGTACAAGACCGATGCCGAGGCCTCTCATGCCCAGCAGCAGATCCAGGGTGAGTTGACCACATGTTGACACCATAAATTTGGGTATTTTGTATACTGGTACTGATATTTATCATCTTTATCCATCAGCCGAATACGACAGGATCGAGGGAACCTCAGAGCACCAGGATGGTGGAGTGGCCCCCGCTCAGTCGGTTGTGGGCATCTTGGATGGTGGTGCTGTTGGTGTCGCCAGCTCTGGCACCTCTCACTATGTTTCCGGAGTTACTGGCTCCACTGGTGGCAGCACTCACTATGTTTCCGGAGTTACTGGCTCCACTGGCGGCAGCTCTCACTACGTTTCCGGAGGCACTGGCTCCACTGGCGGCAGCACTCGCTACGTTTCCGGAGGCACTGGCTCCACTGGCGGCAGCTACACTACGACCTCGTCGTCCGGCGGCACCTCTGGCGGAATCACTGGAGGAGTCATCTCCAGTGGCACCATCATCAAGAATGCCAAGAGCTCCGTCTATCTGCCACCCAATGGCAAATAGATGGTCCGCAGCATAATGATGAATAGCAACAATTTCACTGTACAGCGATGCAATAGTCAAGGGTTTTTTTTTTAAAGCATAAATACATTTTTACCGAAATAGAAGAATATAAATAATGGACTTGTTTTTTTTTAAATAGAGCGCAGACTGGGGAAACCTCAATTTATAATCACAATATCCAAGTAAAGGACTACAGGGAGAACAATCGGAAGAAAAGTTCCTAAAGTATTGGTCAGTTTGGAACAATGTAACTAAAAAGCCTAAAAGTATGTCAAACTATTTTATACCCGTTACTCGTGCCACTTTTGATTTTTTTTTTCATTTCTTAATTTTGTTCTCACTTTTTACCGATATTCAAGAAAATTTCGAGCTTCCCTTAGCTGATGTGATAATGTATAGCATTCTATCTTGTTTTGTATAAAAGTCCAGAGAGAAAGGACAAGAGAGACAATCAGTTTCGTTTAGAATATATATAGCCCCCAAAAGTGTAGCTAATCAATACTAGAACTTACACACTGCATTGATGGCCCGTTTCAGGAGCAGATCCGACTGGCTCTTGTCGAGGACATCGGTCTCGCGGCAACTGCGGTACAAACTGCTCACCGTGGACTCCACGGAACCCTCTTGCGAATTTGGCAGCATTGCAATAAATCGATTCAGTTCATTGAGTTCTGTGAAGAGATAGGGCATATAAATGAATAAGGATATGACAGGAAGATGGGGGATAAAGCTCAGCTTACCCTGATACTCATTGTAGGTCTCGTAGTTCCACTCGCCGCGTTTGATCACAAAGTAGTCGTGGTTGGCATAGTCGCTGGCAAAATTGCCGCAGGCCCACTCGTACGTCTCGTGGCAAGGACTCTTCGAGGTGTTGGCCCACAGGAGCAGCTGCCGGCTGCTCTCCACGCACTCCTTCTCCAGGCAGAGCGGCGCCCGCAGGTAGAAGGGCACCTCCGGCCAGAAGGCCAGCAACAGGATGATGATCAGCAGGAGCAGGGCGCACAGGCAGGCGGTGGTTACGTACAGGATGCGTCGTTTGCGCGACAGGCTCATCAGTGCGTCGAAGGATCGTCGGCCTGGAAGCAGCAAGGCTATCATCGGGCGAGGGCCAAGGATGAGGGAAATGTGATATTAATGAAATGAGGATGGAACTGCCTATATACATATTTTATTCTACATCAACTACAAGTAAATCACAATTATGAACTTTACAGACAATGGAATCAAATTAATGGTTTAATTTAAGTTATATTTTAGAAGGAACTATCAGCTTGAGTTAAACAGAACTACTAAAAGTAATCTTTTGTATTTACAATGTTTAATTAAATGAGATTTACTTTGTACATAACTTTTTAACGAAGATGTTTGTCGTAACTTGAGAACAAATGGAAATAAATGGATCATGCCTTCGAAAACGGACTCTCACCTCTCAGTCCATTGGCCGATGGATGCGTGGAGTTGGGTGTGATTGCCGCTGGAGTCCTGCCACCTGCTCCCCCACCTGCAACCTCGTTAAGGGCATCCTGGCGCGCCGCCTCCAGATCCTTGGGCGTCAGATGTGAGCCGTCGTCCATGTGCAACTTCTGCTGATTGGTAGTCAGTGGAGCCGTTTCGCTGCCCTCTATCTGCTGCAGCTGCTGCTTGCCACCGATCTCGTCCTGGCTGTTGTGCAGCTTGAAACTGCGGTCATCCACCTCGTCGATGGCGCAGATCGTCGGTTTGTACTTGCCCTGATTGATGGCCATTGCGTGTGGATGTGCCCCTCGATGTTTCCCCAGCTAATTTAAGTCGTGCTCTCGTGGTTTCTACCGCTCAATTCAGATGATTCGGCATTTTCAATCACTTCCTAAGTAGCTCTGCAAGTAAAACAAGGAAATCGTTAAGAATGTTTCCAAAGTATGCGAAGTATACACGGACTTCCAGGCGGTATTATAATCGTCTGTTGCTAATCAAAAGATTACCTTGAGAGATGATATACGGGTCTACACACTCGTAGACCCATACACCCATGCACCCACCAACCTCTGGCAATAAAGAAACCTTTTTGATATGTGGAACATCGGAGATAAGTGAAAATTGCCCAGAGATAGCAGGCACTTGATGCCTCAGATCCACAGCTGCGGCCAACAAAATGGCACCTGGATGTTTGCTAAAAGGTAATCCGATAATCTAAGAAATTGTTTTTTAAAATAAAGTTGTCACTCAGCAATGTTACATACTCCAATCATTTATAATGATAGATAATTTTGTTTTTTCTGAAGAAATTATGCTTTTTCTAACACTTGCGTGCTATTGGTATTTAGAAATACATTTTTGCATTAAACCAAATTTAAACAATTGATATTTCTTGATATTTCTTTTAAACACCAAAGCGTTCAAGTATCCAAGATCAGCAATATATTCGCTCCTAAGCGCATCTATATGTTGCATGCATTCTTGTTCAACATTTGACTTCTTTTCAATTTTAAATTGACAACAATTGCTGGCAATTTGCACTGGCGAAAGACTTCGACTGGCGAAATTATATATCCAAATATGTGGGAGGGAGACCTCTAAAAGAAAGGGAAAGAGACAGACTGAGGCCTTTTTTTTTCTTTGTAACATGCATAAATTTCTATTGAGCGCCATGGAAATAATTAAAAATGCAGCGACGTCTCGGTTGTCTTAAAAACTTAAACTAGGTTAATTGCTAATTGCACGAAAATCTGTCTAGCAATGTAGGCAAGTTCTATCATATTTATTTTTAAGGTTTAAAGAAAAATAAACCAATGGCGTGAATTGACTGCGAATCGATAAGAAATCCCATGGGCTAAGTATTGTTATTTTAAAGCATTGCAGCGCATTTCGGTAGCCAATGATTGGCTATATCAATCGATATAGTACGATCTTTAAAAGTGATCTATTTGTATTGCAGGCCGCTTTAGTTTCGCTTCGCCGACCGCCAGAGGGCGTCACTTGGCTGTGTTTCTCTGTGGTTATGCTAGACTTGAAATAGTTTTCCACCTTTTGTTTTCGCTGTGAAATCGTATAGCATTTTTGTCATTTAATCCGCGAGGAAAGCAGCCAATTCACCACCCACACAAAAAACTGGAGAGGCGGCAGGTTAATTATGAAACTACATACAATGCACGCGAGAGTTTATGAAGCGCAATTTGAGCATCAGCACATGATGTTCAAGTCCCACGGCAAATAATACATTTTTCAGCATTAGAAAATTCATTTTAAAATGTCAGGCGGACATTACCACTCCGTGAATCACAATTACATTTCATTAGAAGAGCCCTCAGCGCATTGGCATTAAAAAAAAAGGCCGATATTCAATCTAGATTTGGGTTTCCAAGCCCCTGCAAATCTTGTAAGCCCCCAAATTGCGATAAGTTGTGGTCAGTTGTGAGGATTTGGCTGGGTAAAAAATAATATAGCGGAACGGAAAACAACAATGAAAACGGCTATTATCTTATCGAGTTGCGATTATTGCTTAATACATTGCTCATTTCTAGGCGCTACTACTAGGACAGTCTCCACCTATTTTTTTTTGTTTTCAACCTGATAAATCAGTTTCGTATTATTCAGCAAGATTAGTTCTGCAGACTACCTAAGGGCATTAATTAAAAAAATAAATGCTCTTCCTTGGCTGGTTAAAAGTTGGAGGCCCATGAACAATAATCTTTGCACTCTATATCTCCGCCTCTATCTGTCTAGCCCTATATGACCACTCGAAAAAACTGAAGGTTGCGAGGGAATGCTGGTGTTATGGGCGACTATCTCTGGTTGTTGAGTAATGCCCAGAGAACTTAACCCCATATCAAGCGATAAGATCATCGCAAGAAGTCGTGCATATATACATAGATAAACGCGGATGTCACACTAAAGTAACCGAGAGAGTTAAAAGCTTTATAAAAATTACTACGAGGGGCGGAAAAAAAAATTGAAATATTTAAAAATAAAAATGTGCATTTTAATCGGGGCCCCTTGAGCATCTGTTTTCTTATAAAATATAACGTTAATAGTCCTTATTTTATGGGAAAGATTATCAGAGCTTTTAGATTGAATTTACTTTGACTTTCTTGCTGCAACTTTAAATAGAATAATCTGATTTCGCTATCAAGCCTTTCAGTGATTCAGTTTCTGCAGGCTTTAATGCTTTTACTTTTTTTTATAGGAATGAGTTGTCATTTAAAACTTCTCGGGCTTTCTAGGCCACTTTGTCAGCTCAAAGAACGCCTGCCACAGTGTCGCCACTCTCATTAATTTCATAAAAAAAAAAAAAATTAATTATTGGGGACACACGCTGCACTATTGCAAGTGCCAAAAACAGAGCTCAATTTCATCGTTTTTTATCAAGTTACAATTGCTTTGATTTGGGGCCTTTTTTCTAAAGTCTGATTTATGCAAATTTGGCTTGATTCGATTATGGTTTCTTGGGCTTATGATAAAACTTAAGCTTGTGCTGAGTTTATCTCAGCCACTAGAAAATATTCAGAAGATGCGGCGTCATTTAGTTTGGGGTGGATTCTCGATTATTATTCTTATTCCTCGACAGCAGCGCAATTGAAAGTTGAGACGCAGTTCGATTGGGGATGGAGATAATAAAAGTGAAGAGGTGCGGGAAACTCCCTTGCAAGTCGGAGATAAACTGACTTTGATAAAATCCATGAGTTGATGGAAAAATAACTCAATGAAAGTGCGAGTCAGCAGTTCTTTTTTTTATCCAGGAACAGTAATAATGAATAATGTTGGTATTCCTACCGCATTGCAATTACAATTACAATTATGAGGCAATAATTCTTAACCAAAGTAAAATGAAGACATTATTCATTCACAGCATATGTAGGTATTTATTGTAATATTTCCGCTACCCCGCCCCTGAGAAAAAATGAAAGAAAATCGGTGTTTCCTTTGTGTGACCAAAAAAAGAAGCGGCTTCGACTTTCCCCTTCCATTTATTTCCTTTCCAGTTCGAGTTGCCATATTTGAACATGCCGCGCATAAATCACCAGCGACCATATAAATCTGTACAGATAATGAACGAAAAAGTATAGATAGGTTGGGGAAGACCATAAATTCACTGACCAGTTTTGACAGGCGTTATAAAAAGTAATGCTGGTACTTAAAAAATCATACTTTTTGGCGCATACTGACAATTTGGACGTGCTAAACAGATATTAGCCATACAAAATAATACATGGAATTAGAAAATCAATTTGACTTTGCGGCTAATTGAGTGTGGCATACTTTGACAGCGATTTTCGCCCCTTGTCGAACCCAATTTATACGTTTTTTGTGAACCGCGCTATTGACATTTAATTTGAGTTAATAGCACAGCGAACAACGCTAGTATTATCAAAAGTGTTGATTGGGCAGCTTTGGGTGCGATGATAACCTTGTCGCACCCCCCATATACCCCTTCCACCCACCGCCCATCGCAATCAGTTGTTAAATGTGTCAACAATTTGTCGTCAACTAGCCGAAGTCACTAAAAAGTCGACAAATTAAGAACTGCAGAATGTGAATGTTTGCTTACGCAACTTCGCTTTCGAACGAAACAAACACTCCAAACATGGAAACCTAATTAATTGAGCTGGTTGAGAACATTTCTAAGACTCTTAGAACACTCTAGTGCAAATAAATGTAGTATTCCTTGTGTATTCACCAACTATTTAAATTCAGAGGTAATAAATACGCAAAGTGCAGTTCATTGAGAAACCTATTTACATTTTTGCGAGAACTAATTCCATTCTGTTTCAGAAAGCTTTTTAAATTGATTTTCATACTCGATATTTGATATTCAGCGAAGTCTGTAAGTCATTCGAGCTGAGCTATGTTTGTATGTATCTCTTTGTGATCTTAACCCTCGTATGCAAAAACCACTCGAGCGGAATGCTGAAACCGTAAAACGTTTAACGGAAAAAGGTGCGGTTAAGGTTAGCTTTTCGAGTGTTTCACTTTTTGTTTCGATGTTTCAAAAAGTGCGTAACGAGTGACGTGGACAATGGAAAAGTGACGAATGCGGGCGGAGGCAAATATGTATGTATGTACATAGGTACAAAAGCTGGAGGGAGTTTTTGGGGATTTGGCAGGCCCAATTTCGTGCGTGAGCATTACAATGGGCTCTACAACGATGAAAAACGGAGGGTTTACTTTTGCACATGCTCGAAATGTTAAATGCATAACGGTAATCCAAAAATAAGTGGGCCAAAACGGAAGAAGCGGAATACAGATGCGTAATGGGGTAAGAACAACAGGAACAGGAAGTACTTCAAACATCATAATTATCCACATAATAATCAAAATATTAAAAGCAAACAAACTAAGTATTACCATCTGATATTTTACAATGCAATGTGTACCAAAATGTTTGCCTGCGTGTACCTAATGCAAACTAGTTTTAAAAAATACATTTCTTAACATTACATTTAAGAAGATATTCAACTAAATCTCATTCGACTTTTAAATTACAACACATTTGCAAAAGTTTACAGAACTAACTAATACGCAATCAGGCGTTAAGATCTGTAGATTCCTGCCCAAGATCAAGGTTATTTACGACGTTTTTCAATGTCACCGGCTTATTATCTCAAAATTATGATTTCTTGTTGTTTTACTTTTTTGAGACGTGATGCACTGATCCTCTGCTTCTACTTATTCTTCCTCTGCCGACGTCGTCGTTCTTACGCATTAATTACGGGATTTTCGGGAAAGGAAAATAAAAATAAAAGAATTGACACGCAAGCGCATTTGCAACGAATAAGAGGGCGAAGGAGGAGACGGCAAAGAAGAGAGAGCGACACAGAATTCTTGGTATTGCTGTTGGTCGCTCACACGAAAGGAGATCGCGATGTTCATTCATAGATGATTGCCAACGAAATAAATTGGTTCTTCAAACATACAAATTTTAAGATATAACAAAAATTAGACACAATAAAAAATGTGATCTACTCAGCATTTTAAGCTTATAAATATGACTTGGTATACAAAGATGTCCAGTTTCCACTTATAACATTTATATATCTCATGCATCAGTCGCATTTAGGTGATGAGAAATCCTGATCGCAAAACTGATCGACGTGTGAACCAAGTATCTGATCGGTAATTTTTTATTTTTATTTTCTTTTTGTTTTTGCTTTGGCCACTTGCTAAACCGGTTCTGCCGGCATTTCACACACACACAACCACACACACACTGCGACACTTTTCCACCTTCGTACAAAAACAACAACAAAACGCTGGCTTGAAGTGCGCTTACATTTACTCTCTCTCTTTCACACACACATACGAGATTTAAAATTCCTTTGCAGAAGGAAAATCTCTGTTTTTTACCTTTTTGTTTATAGCTCATTTGGCATTCCGATATATTTGCATCGCGCCACAATTAAAAAAACTTGTATTCGCAAAAACACACACTCGAAAAAAAATCAAGCCGTACACATACGCGCGAAATTTTTCCAGGTTTGCTTTGAATTCTTACGCGCTCAGCAACAACAACGAGAAACCGAATAAACCGCTATGTTCGTCTTCTCAATGAAAACAGAGTTGTGCGTGCTTTAAATTCGAGTGCAGTTATTTTGGTTTTTTTTTTGTATTGTAATTCAAATACCAACTTTTAATAATTTTCCCGGCGGTTTGGGGTTTTTTTTTTAATTTTTAAACGGGGAACGACATCCAAATCAACGGTCGTAGTTTTGTTTTGTGACGATTTTTGTGGCGATGGTCGCTGGAGATGGACAATCGGAGCCGCAGATGAAATCAAAAAACCATCTCTATATCAGCGCGATACATCGGATGCGTCCCGACGCAACGGTGGATAACTCGGCTATGGTGGGAAACAAAGCTATTGCATAGCAAAGACATAAGCCGAAAAATGAGCTACCAGAAAACGTTATTTTGATTTCAGAAAATTCAAGATAATTGTGCGCAAAATAAAAACCTGCAATAAATAAATTAAACTAAGTTTGATCAAAATGTACTGTACCGTCTAGATAGTCATAGTTTATAGCCATACACTTTTTTAATTTTACAACTCGACCGTCATTTTTATTTGTATTTTTATGGTAAATCATTAAATTTAATACAGAAATTAGAAAAAAAAATATAGGGGGCAATCAATCATTATTCATGACACGCATTAATAAGTACAGTTAATAAATTAAACAATAGCGTATAATTGAACTAAACTAACTGTGAGCAGCGGACGAGACTAATTTTTAGTAGGGGTTTTACGTGATACAGACAGGGATTTTATTTCGAGAGTACACTGCAAGAAGTCGGTCAGCGCTTCTCCCACTGTAATTTGGAAATAAATGCAATATTAATTTAAATATAACGATTCAACTGATCTCCTTCTTCTTCCTTTCCTTTTTTTTCATTTTTAGTATTTACACAGAGTTTACATTCAAGAATTACATAGATTATTCAATAATTTTTTAATGTTTTTAATAATTTCTTTTGCATTTTTCAACACATTTTGGCGTTGTAACTTTTCATCCAACCGGCAAACTTTAAGTTTGGCAAACAATTGTCCATAAATGGGCCCTGCACTAGGCAAACTCCGAATAATTTTAAGCGATTCAAAAAGAATTAGAGTAGCACCTAATAACTGTGGATTTTCTCTGTATTACTTTTCATGCCTGGGCTGCAGGGGGCGTGGCAGTATTGGGCAGCTCTCGGCTCTACATTCTGCCCTTCTTCTCCATTCAGAACTTATAACTTCGATATTTCCATATTGGCTATCACTCACATTCAATCAGTGCTCATTCATTCATTGGATCCATTTCAGTCATTCACTCACTTAGCCTAGGTTCATTTCGCTTTCTTAGTACAGATTAATATAGCACTTGTGCAACTTTCCGCAACATTTTTGCAAAGAACAAAAACCCAAAAGTCTACAAATTATTACAAAAAAAATAAGTGTTTGTTAAAGTTTCAAAACCTTTACGCATTAGAAAGTTCTTCATGTCGTGACTAGGCAAGTTTAAATGTGTTGTTTTCTAACAATGTTCTCCCTCGTGTTTTCCAAGCAGCAGGCTGATCCCGCAAATAGTTATATCTTATATAGAGGGGATTGTCCACTGGCACCTCCCGTGTCGACATCGCATGGTTTAAAACTCGACTAAGCGCTCGATTTTAGTACGTCTTAGAGCCGTTTCGTTGTTTTTAGTACGTTTTGGTTTGGTTTTAGTGCGATGTTAGAAGTATTTCGTGGCTGTGTTAGTTTTGTTGCTACGATCGCTGCTTTCGCCAAACTGGAGGACCTGGAGGTTTGGGAGGACATCCTGGCACTCTACAGGGGCTGGTCGCCGTGGTATCCATCCCTCAGTGGCTGCCGCTCCTGTGAATGATCCGTTGGCCGGTTGCGGTTGAAGAAGCCGCACTGTAGGGGTAAAAGAATATGATATTTAATTACTTACCAAAAAATACCAAAAAATGCATTCTATGGAATCAAAAAAGAATCTAATCTGGGTAGGAAGTGATCTACCGTTTAGCTACAACTTTTTTTATACATATTTTCTGTGACATTTTTATCTCACAGCCATATTGGAATCCCCGAGAGAAAAGACGTTAATAACTCACCTTGTAGAGCAGCCAGACAAGCAGCAAGAAGATGAGGGCTCCGGCACAGGCGGCCAGGACGACGACCCACAGAGGCACCACATCGGGCACCTGGAGCGGTTCCGGTTCCGCCTTGTAGAAGATCTCGTGCGTCTTCACGATGGCATCCTTGGGCGCTCCGATGAAGGGCAGCAGAGTGACATTGGCCACCGCCAGGGTGGACACATTGAGTGGCACGTTGGAGGCTAGCTTCTCCATCGTCTTGGCCACCATGCGTGCCCGGATGGCCACGAAGGCGGCGTCGCCGTCCTCGGTGCCCAGATTAGTTACCACACAGCGGATGCTCTTGCACCTGGCCGACTGGCAGGGTGAGTTCAGGTCAATCTGTTGCGGCTTCTCCGCCTCCCCATCCTTATCGTTGGATCTCCGCAGGCGGCGTGTGCCGGAACTCGAGCTGGAGCTACTGCTGCTGCTCCAGTGTCCAGGCGTTGCCTGCTGCAGGTTGTCCTCGTCGTAGAAGTCCTCATTCTCGCGGCCATAGTAGGGTTTGCTGCCCGAGGAGTAAGTCACATGGTGGGTCTGATAGCCACCGGGTTGGCCACTGTACTGCGTCTGTCCCTGATAGGATGTCTGTCCCTGGTAGCCCGGATTGCGAGCCTGGAACTGGGCCTGGTTTTGCCCCTGATAGTGTCCCTGGTTGGCATTGGCCTGGAACTGACCCTGACTTTGGCCCAGACTCTGGCTGGGATTCTGGTATTGACCCTGACTCCTGTACAGCTCGCTGTCCACATTGCCTCGGTTTAGGGTGCCCAAATCCAGAGTACCGGTATGGAAGTTGTTGTTACGGCCACCAAATTGCGATTTGTCGTTGAAGGTAACCGGAGACCCAAGTCCAGATCCTCCGGAACCGGCCAAAAGGAGTTCCTGATGGCGCTGCTGTGCTGGTTGATAACGGTAGTTGGAGGAGGAGGAGCTGCTCGTGTGGTGAACTGGTCCGGCCATCTGGATGTGACCCTGGGTGCTGTGGCCACGCAGTTGGGCCGATGGAGCACCCGAACCGGCGGAGGAGCTGCTGGTCATGTATGTAGAGAAGCTGGTTTGATTGACTTGTGGTTCCTGGACCGCCTGGCTGGCGCGATCGCGGTGCACGAAGGATGCATCTCCAAGCGCCTCCAATGTGTCCTCCTGCCGCCGTTGCTCCACTTGCTTGGGACTCAATTTGTCACCCGCATCGGAGCTATTGCTGACCAAGACTCCTCTTACGAACTCTTCACCGCGGGCCTTCTCGATGTGAACACTGGCACCGCCGGCAGCCGAGGAGCTGGACGATAGGCCAGAGGCCTGGACCGAATTCGAAATGGCACCCTGGGCCTGCAGATATGACTTCTTCAGCAGCTTCTCGTCCAGCTGCAGATTGTACTCATTGAATGCCACATCGTCACACTGGATCTTGCCCCCGGTCTCTGGTTGATTCAGCAGGTACATCAAAGGGTCCCCGACGATTGTCTCGTAGGGCAGATGGATGAAGACCTCCGCCTCCTCGATGATCGAGGGACGATTGTTGCGGATCTCGTAGATGTGCACCACCTGGGGTCCAATATCGTCCTCCTTGGTGGCATTCTTCAACTCCTTGTAGTCGTCGGCCTTGTACAGCTGGTAGTCCGGCAGGGAGGTGCCCTTGATGTCCAGATCGGTGTCCACCCAGATGCCCACGCTCTGGCGGATCTTGTTGTCGTAGTCGGAGCCGTGTTTCTCCAGGTTCGTGGAATTGGCCTCCCAGTAGAAGTCGTAGCTTGACGAGCTACCGTACTTCTCCTCCGGCACTAAACTGATCTTGAAGTGTGCCTATAACAAATATAAAGATTTGCATTGGTTGGGTTGCCATGGGTGTACAAAATGAAAAACTTACAATTTTTCCAGACTCCAACGGGTTTCCAATGTCGCACTTGAGTGTGTGGTTGTTCTCCGGCGTGGGCGGCGAGCAGGTAATGGGCGTGTCCTTCTTCTCACCCAGCTGCTGCAGCTTCCTGTACTGAAGATCCGGCGGGGTAACCATGTAGAAGGCAGCCTCGAAGGCATCCTCATTGGTGTTCGAGATAAGGACCTCAATGACCAGCGGTTCGGGCGAGCCGAAAAGATACTTGTCCACAGTGCTGTTTCGCAAACAATACAGATATTACTACCAAGAACATCTGGAGGAGGTTGTACCCTTTGACCTACCTGACTTTCAGCTTGAGATCTGGCTCGCAAATGTTGTCGGGCCCACAGTTCTTCTGAATGTTGATGGCATCCCGCAGGACGATCTCACGGTTCTGATCAATCACCGGCTCAAGGATGCTCCTCCTATGACGAACCATCGGGTCCAAGGGACGACTACTGCGCAGATTGTAGCGGGCTTCCACCTCCAGAGGCGTCAGCTTGTCCTGCACCTTGTCTAGCAGGTATACGGTCTCATTAAGGCAGTACTTCTGGCCATAGTTCAAGCGGATCGTCTGATTCCTGATGTTCTTGCCTTCATCCCTAAGGAAGAACATGCGGGGATTGGGCAACTTCTTGGCGTCCAGCAGCCAGGACACATCAAAGTCCAGTTGCTCGGGCAGATAGCGACCCGTGTAGCTCCAGCAGGTGGTAAGGAGCATACAGGGCACCTTCTTCTGATCCCTCAGCAGCTGGCAGCTCCTGTCGTCCAGACTGATCAACTTCGAGTTGGTGGCGAAGCTGGTTTCGGCATTGACGGCGGCCACAGGTCGGGACTTAAAGATGAACACCTGGTCGGAGCTGTAGGCGCCCACGGCGAGATCTGGATAGGTATTGCCGTCCATGTCGAGACCGCCGGACAGGGCGAAGCCAAATGTTCGCGGATAGGGAGCACCCTCCACCAACTGCTCGGACTTGATGATCTGCGACGGCTTGGCCAATGGACCCATCGGCGAGCCATGGAAGATGTAAACCACTCCACGACCCTCGGGTCCATCGTAGGGAGCACCTACGGCGAAGTCTCCATAGCCATCGCCATTCACATCGCCCAAGGTGGTCAGGGCCAGGCCGAATCTTCCCTTGCTGTGGTAGCCATCGCGAATGTGCTCCGTGGTCCAGCGCTTCTCCTCGGTGGGACCTCCCTGTAGCAGGATGTACACCCTGCCCACATCGTATTTGCCCTCCACGTTGTTGGGATCCGTGTACATGGGAGCACCG